AAAAAAAAAAAAAAAAACACCACTAAAATGAAAAGACCCCTTAAAGAGTCGACGCGTCAATTTATCATCGTACTCGATAAGAATGCAGTCTCAGCATGCGTCACTACCGCGAACATTTTTGCCGCGGCGTGCAATTAAAAAGTAAAATAGGTAGAAAACAAAATGGAAACGGAAAATCGAAGGTAAGGGAGAATAGCTACACGAACTGATCGTAGCATCAGAACGCGCGTGAGTTTAGGAACGAAGGAGACATTGTAATATTTGTATATAGCCATGTTATCGTGGTAAAGAAATCACCTATATTATTATAAATATTGCGCATATATATACATATATATACGTGTATGTATATGTATATATATATACATAAATAGATCTAAATATTAAGTCTGTAATGCCGTTACGTTGTTGTACCATATTATTGTGAACACCATTTCTCAGACATCGATTTTTTTAAATAAAAAGAAAGTCTCTATCCACATAACGCTAAGTACCAAGCAGAGTATCCGTCGTAAATCCACCGCACCGTGTACGATTCGATTTTCACTTTGTCGCGACTTGCTCGTCTCGTCTCGTCACGATTCCTGGCGCCTAGCATCGTCGTCGCGACGCGCGACGCTTCGTACGCTCACCAGCCGCTTTCACCGCGACTTTCGACTACGAAAAACGGCGAAACGATTCTTTCGGAATTCATAAAGAAAAAAAATAGGCACGTTGATCGTTGACCTGAATTCGAAATGTAACACGATTTTACGAAATTCGTCTCGAAGCTTATCTTTTTAATTGTTCGCGAGAGGATGCTCGGCGATTCCTCGCGACGAGATCGGTGCCTGAACGTTCTACCAACGAGCCTTCTTGTCAGACTGATGTTCGTACTAATCTACCTAATCAACGACCAATTCGCGCAAGCGCTACCATCGCTAAATATCTGCGCCACGAAATCAGTCTGCGATCAGAAACGCGACGAAGGAGTACCCTCGGGATGCGCTTGACCAAAACTGTCCGCTTTTCTTGCCTCGAAGACGTTGGCAATTACATTCACCGATTAGAACGGAATCTGAAACATCCGCGAACTGTCCTTCCCTGATCTTAATCATTTTACCCATCTTTAAGGGACACTTCGCGGATGTTCGTTGCAAGAAAGGTGTATCTGTTCGCGCGCGGATCTATCCGCGATCGATCGAACCGAGTTCGAAACCGCGGGGCGTGCAAAGCGAGCCTTCGATCTCGATCGGCTGTCCGCCGATAGCTGGAAACTCTGCGGATCCTAGATACACATACACACACGTACACAGCGGACGTCCGACGCGACGAACGTACGAAATAAAAAATAAGAAAGGATAGAACGTCACCTTCGGCATTTCTCGCCTAGCACGACACCGTGGCCCTTCGGCCCGTCGATGTGTAAACAATTGTTTCATATTGTTGTAAAGTAGTACGGTGCATAAGAAGAGATGGATGGTATACAATAGGGGACGGCGGGGCTTGCCTGTGTCGAGGACAAACGTCAAAGTCTCTCCCCCCACCCCTCCCGATAATGTAAGCGCACAAAAAGAGGGTTAACGATCTATGTGTCTTCTGCGTGTTTAATCGTATCTTTGTTATTAAATCTTGAACGTCTACGAATGCGTTTCTCTGTGTATTTACCTGTGTACCCGTCTTTCTTTTCTTTCAGTGGCTCCGTTCATCCATTCCGCGTGCGGACCACCTGGTGAATCTATGATTTTCGTAGAGGAAGTAGCAAGTAAACGAGAACAATCACCGCGTGGAAACAATTTTCGAAGTGCGATATTAAATTATTGTCAAACTTTTGATTTTATTGTCATCGATATTTTTTTATCGTTTTATTGTACATCTTGTTCAACGCTCTCTGTCGTCTCGTTTACAAAACTGCAGGAAACTTTGCGTTGATTCCAGATTTCTCGAGCGAGAAACACAGGAGAAGCTCGTCGGGAGCAGAGAGTATCGAGAAAGCTGCTACACCCTCGGAACGCACTCTAAGTACGGATCATTATAACTATATATGTCTACGTATCACTTATCGATATCACGCGCTAAATAATACTATCATTTTCCCGTCCGACTTTTAAGGCTCCAACGATGTATTTCATCTCTACTAAATATTCGCTTTACATTCGCGTCGACGTCGCTCACGAATTCCAGTAATCGCTCGTGTCCCCCGTCGCGACGCTAGGTCTTCGAGGTTTGAGGACGGAGGACCCGTTTAATCCTCTTAAATCGTGCCAGAGCTACGCCAGGCTCTCCCTGCAGACCACCGAAAGCATCCCCGTATTCGGTTGCCAGTGGACCAAGCTCCTCGTTGTTTCCTGTCAACGAAGCCACGGAACCGGACTTTCTGTCCGACAAAGAGCTCTGTTCCGCTATTGCCTTGTCGTCCTCGCTCGCTTTCGACGTCAATCCCGACTGTTAGCGAAGGAACGATATCGACATTTCAGTAAGGAAATTTCTACTCTTATTCTATATTTTCTCTTTCTTATTTTACCTTGTCGTCGCTGAGGTCCCCGTGCAACTTCAAGTCCAAAGCCACATCGGCAGGCAGGGTGTGGATAACGCGACCCTCTTCAGACCTTGATCTTCTCCTACCCTTCTTCCCCGCATCGCGATCGTTTCGCACGAAATATATCTGTCTCGGAGACGCGCGCTTCTTCACAGGCGTGATTTTTTTAATCGGTGCTAGTTGCTCCGACGAAGACCGTTTCTTCGCCGTTTCTCGTATCGATCTTTTATCACCGTTCGAGGTCGTATCACTGGCGCTTCGAGCTTTGGCCCGATTGCTACCATCGTTCTGTCTCTTTTTACGCTTTACCGATCGCTTCTCACCGGTATTCCTCGTCCGAGGCTTGCCCGAATTCCGCGGAGATCTCTTCGACAGACTTTTCACCCTCTTCTCCGGCTGTTCGGCTTCCTGCTCCCCCTCCTCGTCTTCCCGCTCGTGCATCTCGTCGAACTTTGCGTTGTTCTCCTCGATTTCCTTGATGCGCTGATTCTCAGCGATCTCTCGTTTGATCTCCTCCTTGATCGAGTCGATTTTCCGCTGGATCTGCTCCTCCACCCGTTTCTCGTAGTCCGCGTCAGCCTGCTCGTTGCTCGCAGCTTCGGAATTCGCGGAGTTTTCGAGTTTGGCAGAGTCCTCCGACACTTGGGCTTCCGCGGTATTTATCGCAGGAGCCTCGGCTTTAGTTGCCTCCGGACTCGATACGTCCGCGATCTTCGTCTCGTCGTGTTTGGAAGTTCCTCCGAGACTCTGCGTCTCGCCGACACCTTGCTTGTCGCTCGACAGGCCTTCCTCTTGCGTTTTCCTGTCCCCTGACGCCTCAGCGTTCAACGACTTGGCGTTCTCGTTACTCTCGACCTCTGTCTGATCGTTCACCGTCAGAGATTGCTTGGAACCGCCTGCCTCTCGTTCGAGATTCGCTTTGGATACCTCGTTCTCGTTTCTTTCACCAGCATTCCTTTTCGCCTGATCCCCTTCCTCGCCGGAATCCTTGTCTTTGTCGGATTTCGCGTCTTTTAAGGATGTCTCGGCGTCCTTCTCCAAGTCAGTCGAAGGCCCGCCACTGCTCCCCTCTTTCCCAGTCATCCCCACGTTCTCGGTTTTCTTCGAATTCTCGTGATCCCTTTTCACTCGCACGTCACCGCGTACTTTCCTCTTTCCAGCTTCCTCGTCCAATGATTCTCGCTCATCAAACGCCGCAGTGTCTTCCGCCGCTCCAAGAGACTCGTCGTCGACTTCTTCCTCGTAATCCTCTGACCCAGGGATGCCTCTTTTTACGACGTCCTTCGTCTCGAAGTCGTCGTACAAACTGGACCTCTCCTCTTGGTCGACGAACCTGCCTCGGGAACGAAACATTATTTATCTTTTACTCTTTATACGGGGCTTTTATTTAGACAAACAAAATGTGCGCATCTCGACCTGTCGAAATCTTCGTTAACGCGGAATTCGCCGCCTTTGTAGCTGGCTTCTTTGTTCGAGGAGCCAGCTACCGATTCGTCCTCAACCTCGTCCGCGTATTCAGATTTGTCCTGGTCGACGGCTGCTTCGTAGTCCCCAGATTCCCTGTCGACGAGCCTTGGGAGGTCTCGAGAGGAACGACCGGTTCTCGGCGAGGTTTTGATAGCTTTGGTCATCGAACGTTTTAGCTCGGATTTCGCAGCGTCGTTCGAGATTTTCGGATTGCTCCTTTTGGTTCGAACACGCTTGTCGGTGAACTCGGGTCGGCCAGGGGTCTCGCTGTTCTCGATTTCAGGGCTGAGTTTACGCTCGCTTACGACGACCCTCTTTTCCCTTGGACTTCGGAAGATTTGCTCGATGGACGCGTCGAGTTTGTCGCGTTGCGTCTCGGCGAAGTCGCTACTGGAAGAGAAACGACAGAAGAACGCGGTGATCGAAATCAAATGGCGCAAGTTCGAGCGACATTCCCGATACACGTAACATTGTCCTAAAGTATTTCTCTTTCGCAGGGTAACCGCGAGTAAAAAAGATAAAATTCTGCATTCGGATGGTGCGACGAAGTTGTTAGGAACGATAGATACCTGTAGGTATCTTTGACGAGTTCCGAAGCGCAGTGCTGTGTGAACGAGTGAATCAGCATCGACAGGACGAGAATGTACGCGCAATTGTACCGAAATCGTTCGTTCATGGTGTCACAGACGTGGCATCGTAGCGCTGATTCTTCTCCTATGAATGCACGTGCAGAGTTACTTTCATATTTTGGTGTTTTTTTCAGGGAAAATCGTATCGGGCGACGTCGGTGCCGCGTGAATGAGGCAGCGACAGTTCGAGTTCGATCCAGAAGAGTGCTTTTGTTCCGATCGACGATTATTTTCGGTTAGTATATCGAGAGTTCTGTTTAAACTTACTTAAAAAAATAGAAACAATAGCGTTGACATCGCCGTCGAGATAGTAACGATTAATATTTTCATTATTATGAATCCCGCGGTATCAAGTGGAATTCGGACTTGTCGAAAAGTAAATTACGTTACACAAAATAATCTCTTTATTATCGCACGTTGAGCTACAAACGATTCCACGCCGTATGTACACAGCGAAGATTATAACCGAGCAATATTTGATAATTCATCGATTTATCGTAGTTTACGCGTATAATGCTTGGTTGTTAGTATTATTATTGTTATTATTATTATTTACCGTGTTACAATAATCGAAATCATTGATCAAAGTTCGTGTAAACGCAGTGTCGTATTCGCTACAAATATGGTATCGACGTACAGATACTTTATACAGCTCGTAGCACTGCTGCAATAACAGCGGGCAGCGTTACATAGTCGCGTGGAAATGTTGTTCACTACACATGTATTTACAGTATAAATGGAACGGGATTATATAATGGTGTTTATTCTTTCGCTGTGTTACTTCTTATCGTACGATATAATATGTTTACTCGGTGTACGTAACTCCAGCATACATACACGAGTTATCGTTGGCAACGAAACGGTAAACGCGAAAAATATAAATTCGTTGCTTGGTAAACGGTTTGAAATTATAATAAAAAAAACGAGTCCGTTTTATAACTAACGATACGACCGACAAAAAAAGAACTAATTATAATCGACGGAGACCAAGGAGCTCGAATTATTCACATTCTTTGCGAATAGCTTTTGGCCTCGCAACAGTTTTAACAGAAATGGAACCTGCAATTATTAAGCAACAAGTTTTTTGGTAACGAGATCTCGCAAGGGAAGAATGCAAAACAAATAAAATTAATTGCAAAAACATCTTTATTCGATCGAGAACACATCGATAAACTTCGTAAATGAACAAAATTAAAGTAGGAAAAAAAAAAAAGTAAAACGAAATAATGATCCGTTCCACGGAGGAACAGGCGTTGAGGTGTCGAACGAACGACGCGAGCTGGTGCGTTCGCGCGACAAGTGTATTTATTGGAACGTGGGTTAACGTAAAACGCAGGGTGTTATAAGAGGAGAGGGACGATGATCTAAATACAGTTATCAGCAAGATAGAAGAACGGTAAATATAAAACAAAGCGGATTAGAGACGCTACGCGCGGCTTCTGAGCGCCGCATTCTATTCTAAGTATCAAACGAATCCGATCCACGGATCAGAGTCGTCCGTATCACGGATTTAAGCTCTAGTTATTGCTTTGTAATACACGTGGTTTAAAGTGACAAACAAAATATCGTAACATACTCCAAGTGTCTCCTGCCGCTGATCGATATCCAACTATCGATATTCAGCGTTAAATATCCTTCCTCGAGGATAAGAGTATATCGACGTATACAGAGTAACGCGTATATGCGTACCCTTGTTACGTATATAGCGCGGTTCCACGTCGGTCTAGTTCAACGATCGCACCGATGCAAGAAATAAATATCATTCGAAGGACGCGAGTTCATCACAGCAATTTACACGAACTTTTACGCTTACAGTTAGACCTAATTTCATCGGAGGCGGACGACGAGTCTGCTTGGCCTAATATTCAATCTTAGAAAAGGATACAAATGAATTATTCTAGTCAAGAAACAAAATCAAACAACATTCTTCTAGGCCGTAAAATATCCAGCTCTCTTAGTCCGCCCCCTCAATCCCCGTGGTAACAATCGCAGAGAACTATTTTAACTCGAAACGACCGGCATGTAAAACTTGTGCTTCGGTGTGTCCCTAGTGTGCTTGAACGGAGCTTGTTTAGCCTCCAGGAGAGCCGCTGGACAAGGTCCCTTGTGCCTCGGCGCGTATTCCCTTCTGTACATGCTAGAGGTGACGGTACCACCGTCTCCGAGACTGATGTGAGACACGTTCGCTTGCCTGTGAACCCTCTCCACTTTCTGAGTGCTGAAATTCCCGTAGTTCTTGGCCTCGCTGTGAGAATAGAACTTGCCACCCACGGTTAGATTATCCTGTCGAACGATTCTTTGCGGACGTTCGTACGTCGCGGAGGCCCAAGGATTCGCGTCCTTGTGGCTGCGGTGCAACGAAGTCAGACTCCTTCGATCGCTGCTCTGACTCGAGTTGCTGATGTACTGACCGCTCTCGGCCAGATTCGAGATGCTCTTCTTCTGATCGGCGGCCGTCGAGGAGATCGTGTGAAGCGCCTCCGTCGACGTGGCTACGCCGCCGCGTCTGTGGAGCACCGAGTTGGTCACGTCGGCCGACGAAGAGATCACGTTTTTCCTGTGATGACTGGTCTTGGTCACCGACGTGTCCGACTGCGATCTGTCCACCGACTGGCCACTGATCGCTTGTCTGAATTCGGCGCTGCTCGTCTGGTTCGAATTATAGCGAGCTTGGCTAGAGACCGTGTGCTGCTCGTGATGCTGCCTCTGCTTCGTCGAGGTATGTCGCGACTCCATGTGCTGGGAATTGACGTAATCTCTCTTGCTAGTCTCCTGGTGATGTCGTTCGAGTTGCTTCTGATGCTGCTCGTTCGTTTGACCCCGACGATACTGACCGTCCACGATCGCCGAACCTTCGTCCATCACTCGTCGGGACTGAGTCATGTTTTGCGATCTCAGATGCTGCTCGCTCGAGTGCATTCTCTGATGATGTTCGTTAACGTATTGCTGATTACTCGTTAGGGATTTTCTAGAGTCATCGGAGGTCTGTATCGCGCGACGATCCGTTACAGCGTGTTGAGCGTGATGCTGGTGAACGTTTTGAGCCGACGATACGCTTTCTCCCGAGGTGGTAGTTTTCTTCACGGTCGTGACCACCGTACCGTTTTCCAAAGACTTCGACTCCGACGACACGCTCCTTCTCGTGTCAGACTCCATGCTGCTAATCTTGGCTGCCACCTCCTTGGCAGCGCGTTTCGTAAAGGTGTTGTAATTTCTCTGAGTCGTGGTAGACATAGTCGAGTTGTCGTCGCCCAAGTTGATCGAGGACTCCATATGGTGTCTGCGGCTCACGGTCCTACCGACCGGCGAGTCCTCCTTTCTCGTAGGCAGGTACATGTCCCTGCTCGTAGTTTTCGTTTCCATCGATCCCGTGCTGACTTTCAGATTGTCTTCGTGACGTTTGATCTCTGCGCGTTCACCGCGTACCACCGTGTACGTGGACCTTTGGGACGTGGTGTCTTGGAAGTCGCCCGACATCCTCAGGTTGTCTTCTCGACGCACCACCTCAGTTCTCTCGACTCTCTTCGGCGTGAAATCGTCTCGAGGTCTTCCGACGAAGTCGCCCTCGGGTTTCAGATTATCGGGGTGTTTGATAGGCGTTCTTCTCTCGCCGGGTCCCAGGGGCGATTTCTGCGGACGTTCGAACTCTCCCTCGGGACGCAGATTGTCGGGATGCCTCTTCACAGTCACCCGTTCACCGACCACGCGAGCGTAGTCGCTCTTGCGACGCACGTCGATGAACTCGCCCTCGATCTTCAGGTTATCCTCGCGCTTCTTGGCCTCAACCCTCTCGACCTTCGTGATTCTCTTGTAATCATCCCTCGAGCGACGAACGTCCATCTCCCCTTCCATCCTCAGGTGATCCTCGTGACGACGGACTTCCACTCGCTCCCCGTTTACGTACCTGTAGTCGTCCTTGGGCAACGGACTGGCCTCCATGTCACCCTCCGGGCGTAGATTGTCTTGAGGCTTTCTAACCAGGGGACGTTCAGCCTTCTTGGGACCGTAGTCGTCCTTTGGCGTGTGGTAGAAGTCTCCTTCCGGATGGAGATTGTCCTCGTGACGAATGGGAGTCCGTCTTTCGGCAGGTCCCACCTTCTGAGGCGTTCGTTTGGCAAAGTCGCCTTCGGGGTGCAAGTTGTCCTTGGGTTTCTTCACATCTGCGCGTTCTCCTTTAGTTGGCGTTTCTTGTCTGGGTCGTCCAACGAATTCTCCCTCCGGGTGTAGATTGTCGGGATGTTTGATCGGCGAGCGCCTCTCCGCAGGTCCGTACGGAGACTTCTCCGGTCTCTCGAAGTCTCCCTCGGGCTTTAGATTGTCCTTGGGCTTTTTAACCGTAGCTCTATCGCCTCTGGTAGGCGTCGGCGCCTTGGGTCGTTGCGCGAATTGTCCCTCGGGCTTCAAATTGTCGGGATGTTTGATCGGCGATCTTCTTTCCGCTGGACCAACCGGCGATTTCTCTGGTCGCTCGAACTCTCCCTCGGGTCGAAGGTTGTCCTCGTGTCTGACGATCTCGCTGCGCTCGCCACGGGTCACTCTGTAATCGTCCCGCCTTCGAACGTCGACGAACTCGCCCTCGATTTTTAAATTGTCTTCTCGACGAACGACGTCCACCCGTTCGACCCTCGTCACGCTCTTGTAGTCGTCCCTGCTGCGACGAACGTCGATGTCACCCTCCATCTTCAAGTTGTCTCGGTGAACGACGATCTCCGTCCTCTCGCCCTTCGTAGGCTTGTAATCGTCCTTCGGCTTGCCCGTGAATTCGCCCTCTGGCTTCAGATTGTCCTTCGGCTTCTTTTGAACAGGTCTGTCCGCTCGTTTAGGAGAGAAATCGTCCTTCGGTCGTCCCACGAATTCTCCCTCTGGTCGAAGATTGTCCTCGTGGCGGATAGGCGTCCTTCTCTCCGCTGGACCCACCGGAGACTTTTGCGGTCTTTCGAACTCTCCCTCGGGACGGAGATTGTCCTTCGGCTTGGAGACATCAGCTCGATCACCTTTAAGAGGCGCCTCCTCCTTGGGACGACCGACGAAGTCTCCCTCAGGCCGGAGATGATCCGGATGTTTGATCGGACTTCTCCTTTCCGCAGGACCCATCGGTTTTTTCTCCGGTCTCTCGAAGGTGCCTTCCGGTCGTAGGTTGTCCTTAGGTTTCTTGACGTCAGCCCTCTCGCCCTTCTTTGGCGCCAGCTCCTTCGGTCGACCCACGAATTCACCCTCGGGACGAAGATTGTCGTCGTGTTTGATCGGTGATCGTCTCTCGGCAGGCCCAACCGGCGTCTTCTCCGGTCTCTCGAACTCGCCTTCCGGTTTCAGATTATCTTCCGGCTTCCTGATCTCTGGTCTCTCCGCTCTCTTCGGCGAGTAGTCGTCCTTGGGGCGAGCTTCGAACGGACCCTCGGGTTTCAAATTATCGGGATGCCTGACGATGTCGACACGTTCGCCTTTCGTTACCTTGAAATCGTCGCTCGTTCGAGAATCCGTAAATTCACCCTCCATGCGCAGGTTGTCCTGGTACTTGGTTATCTCGGTCCTCTCGCGGATCAAGAAGTCCGTGTACTCGTCCCTGGACCTGTAGGTTTCGATGTTGCCTTCCATTCGAAGGTTGTCGGTACGTTTGACGACGTCGACGCGTTCGCCACGGACAGGGACGAAATCATCCTTGGGTCGACCCTCGAACGGCCCTTCGGGTTTCAGGTTGTCCTCGGGACGCTTGACGTCGGCGCGTTCTCCTCTGGTTGGCTTGTAATCGTCCTTTGGCTTCCCGACAAATTCTCCCTCCGGCTTCAGGTTGTCGGGGTGTTTGATGGGAGTGCGTTTCTCCGCAGGCTTAACGGGAGATTTTTCGGGCCGCTCGAACTCACCTTCCGGTCGCAGATTGTCGCGAGGCCTCTTTACGTCCGCGCGTTCTCCTCGTTTCGGTGTTTCATCCTTTGGCTTCCTCTCGAACTCACCTTCGGGCTTCAGGTTATCCGGATGTTTGATCGGTGTCCTCCTCTCCGCAGGGCCGATCTTCTTCGGCTGAGGTCTATCGAATTCACCTTCTGGCTTCAAGTTATCCTTGGGCTTCTTGACCTCTGGTCTCTCGGCGGGTCTGTACCTCTCGTGCTCGGGACGCTCGAATTCACCTTCTGGTTTCAAGTTATCGGGATGCTTGATCGGAGAACGTCTCTCGGCGGGGCCAAACGGTTTCTTCTCGGGTCTCTCGAAAGTACCCTCTGGCTTCAGATTGTCCTCTGGCCTCTTGACATCGGCTCTGTCGCCTCTCGTCGGCGCTTCTTCTTTAGGCCGTCCGACGAAGTCGCCTTCGGGCTTTAAATTGTCCTGAGGTTTCTTAACCACGGGTCTCTCGGCTGGCCTGAACTCTTCCGGTAGGGGTCTTTCGAATTCTCCTTCGGGTCGAAGGTTATCGGCGTGCTTGATGGGCGAGCGTCTCTCCGCAGGACCCAAAGGCTTCCTTTCCGGCACTTCGATCTCGCCTTCGGGATAAAGATTGTCTTTCGGTCTCTTGACGTCGGCCCTGTCGCCTTTCGTCGGCGTTTCTTCTTTAGGACGTCCAACAAAGTCGCCTTCGGGCTTTAGATTGTCTTGCGGCTTTTTAACCACGGGTCTTTCGGCTGGCCTGAACTCTTCCGGTAGGGGTCTTTCGAATTCTCCTTCGGGTCGAAGGTTATCGGCGTGCTTGATAGGCGTCCTCCTCTCGGCAGGCCCAAGAGGCTTCTTTTCCGGGACCTCGATCTCGCCTTCGGGATAGAGATTGTCTTTCGGCTTCTTGATATCGGCCCTGTCGCCCTTTCGCGGAGCGTCTTCTTTGGGACGACCAATAAAGTCGCCTTCGGGTTTCAAGTTGTCCTGCGGCTTCTTGACCACTGGCCTCTCCGCTGGCCTGAACTCTTCAGGCTTGGGTCTCTCGAATTCTCCCTCTGGTCTCAGGTTATCCGCGTGCTTAATCGGAGTTCTCTTCTCCGCGGGACCGATGAGTTTCTTTTCTGGTCTGTCGAATTCACCCTCTGGCTTCAGGTTATCCTCTGGTCTCTTCGCTTCCGGTCTCTCTGCTCTCTTAGGGCCGTAATCGTCCCTCGGACGACCCTCGAAAGGACCCTCGGGCTTCAGGTTGTCCTCATGCCTGACGATATCGACTCGTTCGCCTCTCACTACCTTGAAATCATCCCTCGTTCGGGTATCGGTGAACTCGCCCTCCATCCGAAGATTGTCTTCGTACCTGGTCACTTCGGTTCTCTCGCGTATCAAAAAGTCCGTGTACTCGTCTCTAGATCTGTAAGTCTCGATGTTGCCTTCCATTCGCAGATTGTCGGTGCGTTTGACGATCTCCACACGATCGCCGCGGACATGTTGATAGTCGTCCTTGGGTCGACCCTCGAAGGGACCTTCCGGTTTCAGGTTGTCTTCCGGCCTCTTAACGACGGCTCTGTCTCCTTTGGTAGCCGTGAAGTCGTCTTTGGGTTTGCCAACGAATTCGCCTTCTGGTTTAAGATTGTCCGGATGCTTTATGGGCGTTCGCCTTTCCGCTGGACCGAACTTCTCCGCGCGAGGACGCTCGAAATCGCCTTCTGGCTTCAAATTGTCTTTAGGCTTCTTGACATCTGGCCTCTCCGCTGGTCGATACTCCTCGTGATCAGGTCTTTCGAAGTCGCCCTCTGGACGAAGATTATCCGCGTGTTTAATGGGAGTGCGCCGCTCCGCAGGACCAATTACAGGCTTCATGGGCCTGTCGAATTCACCTTCGGGACGCAAGTTGTCTTCGGGTCTCCTGACTTCGGGACGTTCGGCTCTCTTCGGCGAGAAATCGTCTTTGGGTCTTCCCTCGAACGGACCTTCCGGCTTCAAGTTATCCTCCGGACGTTTCACGTCTGCGCGCTCACCTTTGGTTGGCTTGTAATCATCCTTTGGACGTCCTTCGAAAGGACCCTCGGGTCGAAGATTGTCGTCGGGTTTGATAGGAGTTCTACGCTCGGCGGGACTGAAAGGTTTTCGTTCTCTATCTGGAAAATCGCCTTCAGGGAACAAGTTATCAGGATGACGAACGATCGGTGCTCGTTCACCAGGACCGTACGACGTGGGCATGGGTCTCTCGAATTCACCCTCGGGATATAAATTATCCGGATGTCTGATGGGCGTACGTTTCTCGCCAGGAGTGTACTTATCCCTGGGACGGTCTTCGAAGTCTCCTTCAGGGCGGAGATTGTCCTGTGGTCTCCTCACCTCGGGACGTTCCGCGATTTTCGGTGTGAAATCGTCTTTAGGTCGTCCCTCGAAGAGTCCTTCCGGACGTAAATTGTCCTCTGGCCGTTTTACGTCAGCGCGCTCACCTTTTGTTGGCTTGTAATCGTCCTTCGGACGACCTTCGAAGGGACCCTCGGGCCGAAGATTGTCGTCGTGTTTGATAGGAGTTCTACGCTCGGCGGGACTGAAAGGTTTTCGTTCTCTGTCAGGAAAATCGCCTTCGGGAAACAGATTGTCCGGATGACGAACGATCGGTGCCCGTTCACCTGGGCCATAAGACGCGGGGCTCGGCCTGTCGAATTCACCCTCGGGATACAAATTATCCGGATGTCTAATGGGTGTACGTTTCTCACCAGGAGCGTACTTGTCCCTGGGACGATCCTCGAATTCTCCTTCAGGACGAAGATTGTCCTGGGGCCTTCTAACTTCAGGACGTTCAGCAGTTTTCGGGGTAAAATCATCTTTCGGACGACCCTCGAACGGACCTTCCGGTTTTAGGTTGTCTTGAGGTCTCTTTACTTCCGGACGCTCTGCTTTCCGAGGGGTATAGTCGTCTTTAGGGCGACCTTCGAAGGGTCCTTCCGGGCGCAAGTTGTCCTCCGGCCGTTTAACGTCTGCGCGTTCACCTTTGGTTGGTTTGTAATCATCTTTAGGACGTCCCTCGAAGGGTCCTTCGGGTCTCAAGTTATCCCGAGGCTTCTTCACTTCTGGCCGCTCTGCTCTTTTTGGCGAGTAATCGTCTTTAGGTCTTCCTTCGAACGGACCTTCCGGTTTCAAGTTATCTTCTGGTCGTTTAACATCCGCTCTCTCTCCTCTGGTCGGCATGTAATCGTCCTTGGGACGTCCTTCGAACGGCCCTTCCGGTCTCAAATTATCTTGCGGCCTTTTTACTTCCGGACGTTCTGCTGTTTTCGGTGTGAAATCGTCTTTGGGTCGACCCTCGAAGGATCCTTCCGGCCTCAAGTTATCTTCTGGTCGCTTGACGTCCGCTCTCTCTCCTCTGGTCGGCATATAATCGTCTTTAGGGCGTCCTTCGAACGGCCCTTCCGGTCTCAGATTATCCTCTGGGCGCCTAACATCGGCACGCTCTCCCCTGGTCGGTTTGTAATCGTCCTTCGGTTTTCCCTCAAAGGGTCCTTCCGGCCGTAAATTATCTTTAGGCTTTTGCGGTTCCGGCCTCCTTGTAATCGCCGGCACGACGTAATCGTCTTTGGCGTGCGGCACGCCTTCGAACGATCCCTCGAGCTTCAAATTGTCGTCCCGTCTGACCACGGCCGTGGTTCTATAATCGGTCTGATCAAAGGTTCGATATTGTTCCTGCGTGGTCGTGGTGCTCTCCGTGATATCGGTCTTGCTGTAAAATCGATCGTCCTCCTCCGTGTACGTGAGTCGACGTCGTGGTTCACGTTCGATCGTATCGTAACTGTGGAAATCCTCCTTGAGACGAGAGGTACCCTGCAGCAGATTTTTCGCTCGATAAGCGGTCGACTCGAGATAAGAGGAATTGGAACATCTCGAGAATGCAAGGACGCGTTAAAGATACATCTTTCCCGCGGCAGGTACTCACCGTGAATTCACCCTCTCCCACCGTGAGGTTGTCCGTTCGTTTGATGATGTCGGTTCGTTGGATGGTACGGTGGTCGATGTACTCGGATCTCATGGTGGTCGAGTCGATGAACTCACCCTCGACCTTCGTGTAGGTGTTACGACGTACCGGGGTTGGCCGTGCGCCGGGTGTACCGGTGAACACCAGCTCCGTGGTTGTTGTACCTGCGCGTTAAACGAAGTTACGGTAACGCGCGTGTATAAAGGGACAAGAATCAGGATTTAGCTAGATACATTTTCTTCAGTTTTAATTAAACTTACCGTCGAATTCTCCTTCCGGTCTAAGATTGTCCTGCGGTCTTTTGACGGGTGTGCGATCTCCATATTTCGGAGCCTCCTCTCGCGGTCTCCCGATGAATTCTCCTTCCGGCTTCAAGTTATCCTGTGGCTTTCTGATCGGAGCCCTCTCGCCCCACGTCGGTGCCTCCTCCCTCGGTCTACCGATGAATTCACCCTCTGGTCGGAGATGATCCTGCGGTTTCCTCACCGGTGCCCTCTCGCCTCGCGTCGCCACGTAATCCGTTCGCCTCTCCCCGATGAAGTCGCCCTCCATTCGCAGATGATCCTCATGGTGGCGTATCGTCTGCCTGTCGACGTGTTTCACGTCGTACTCTTCTCGGTACGACGTGACCGAGTGTATCGGTTCGTCTCGAGACAGCTCCAAATGATCGTCTGGCAAGGTGTGAGGGCAGTGATGCCGTCTGTAAGAAAACAGGTGTTTACAGCTTCTGTAGCTTCATTTTTCTTTTTCTTTTTTTTTTATACTTATTACGGGATATAAAATATTTATTCAGACTTCGACGTCGATACAACTACCGTTCGCGAATATTCATGCATGTCGTCGATGGTAGATAACCGCCGTCGGTTCATTGATAGACTGCAAGTACATCAGTCGCAGACGTCACTGCGGTCACGCACGTGATCATTGCCGTGCTAGCGCGACAGTTGCATGTTCGTTAGATTTCGTGCACGGCACACGTTAGACAAGCCTAATTGAAACAGACTCCCCACCGGTAACTACTATCCCGGATCAACCATTCACCGAAAAATATAAATTTCAACGTCGTTCTCAGGTTACGCAATTTTACTTTCCTTCGCAACAGCTCGGTGCAACCGTGAAATCCGAAGATTATGGAAATGCACGCCTCGATATGTATTCGTAACACATGATATCGTTATTTTCGTCGCTGACATCTGCCGCTAATCGTTCGATATGTACAGAGTACGCGACAAAATGAAAGTAAACATTGATCGTTCGCATAAAAACACCGATGTACAAGGTGCGATAACTCGATGAGTAACGACTTTAGCGAACTTTCGCACGCAAAAGTCTTATTTTAATTGTAACAAGGCCGCGATCGTGGATGGCCGCGTTTATCCCGATAACGATGTTTTTAGACAGCTTTTCGACTTTATCGACTTCGCCGAACAATGCCGCGTATAGTATTCGTCGTTTCGGTTCATCGTAATTGGCAATTAACGGAGCGAGGAAACGTCCATGGGCTGTTGTACGTCCACGAGTTGATATCGCAATTTCCATGTCAATTAGGGAGACTGGTGTCAAAAATCTACGCGTAGCTGGGTCGACACCCATAAAAGTCTGGCAAATAATTCCTCTCTTCCTTAACTTCTAGTAGAAACGAACCGCCGTGGACGGACACTCGGAACGTTACTTTTCGTAATGGATAGTGCCGTGAAGCTACGTATTCTTCAAACGAAAGCAAAAATTAGTTTTCGACTACCGAAGTAAACCTGAAAATAAGCTCGCGTTTCTGGAACGCAACCCTGCAACAACCCCTTGAAACATTAGAGCAAAGGACCTCGGTAAACTTTGTTAGGACGTTAAAACAGGTATAAGCGGATTCGTCCAACGGAGACCGTAACCAGTCCCATTCGCATCGAAATCCGTGGGGGCCATTTGGAAATTGGATGACGATCAAAGGGAGACTTCGCAAGAGACGTCGTCGTAACTCGCGGCACGTACGCATCGATGCATTCGAATGCGTCGCCGGTGGGTCGATGTAAAAGGCGAAACAGAAAACTACATACGAGCCGTAACACGCCAAATTTCGATGCAGAACCACGGTTTGTATAGAGCGATCTGTTATTCGGGGTTCTAAGGAGCATCTGGTTGCCGCGCAACTCCATTCAACGGGATCGAGACGCGGATTGCCTCTCGTCGATGCCACCATTCGAACATGTTTGTCCCTCTCCTAATTAGTTTCGCCAGCGATCGAGACTTTAACGAATTATGCTTGACCGAGCAATTGCCAACGCGCGGCTTCCTATTCGGTTCAGTTTCGCCGTCGTAGTATCACACTTTAATTAGATTAAATTAGATTTCTGATTTTTTATTTACAAATATTGAGATTTCTCGAGACTGCTGTACTGTTTGGGAGTATTGCTCGAAACATAAAAATATGTACATCGTTCACTTTCTATATCTGGATGCTCTCGAATCCCATTACGGGCTGCCGACCAGGCTGAATCGGACATGCCGGAACAACCCTTGCGGGCCACAAACGCGCAATCAATTCTCCACGATCTCTCGATCGCGTTCGTTTGCGAGACAGGGTTCGATTTGGGTCGAGCGTTTCAATCTAACAAGAACTGGAATTATATTTATCGACGCGACTTAGCACGAGTCGAGGGTATTCTATTGCAATCGCGACATTTAAGCATTTTAATATTTCCCTTATCTTAACGTAATCATGCGTATCCTTTTCAATAGCACAACCGTAAATAACCATTAACCGAATCGCGTCATCGTCCTGACCCAAATCGAAGTCCTTGCGCCGATCGAAATATCTGTCCAGAGAGATCGCTTTCGACTCGGTTGCCGTGGCGCATTGCGAATCACCTTCGAGAAATTCCAAAGAAGGAAACGCGAGATTCGCTTCTCGACGTCCTTGATTTTAGGACCAAACAATGGCTTCTCCTTCGCGTGTCGCGTCGAGACGGGAGTCGTCGTTGGATCACCTTAAATTTGAATCGCGATCACCTTGCCTCCGTCGTTCCGATAAGGAAGAAGAACGAGCAACGGATCGCTATTGGTCGGAAACAACTTCCCGTACAAGGGCTTGGTCTCGCGTCCCACTTTTCAGCGCCGTGCGTGCTCGTACTCCTACCTCCCTTCGTATGCATACAGGTCCATGCAGAGTTAGGTAGATATTCTTCTAATAGTAAACACCGAATAGTCTGTTTTACTTTAATCGCTGAAGCCGAGTCTTTCCGGACCGTATTGTTCGACCGAGCCAATATTTGCGCTAGTCTCCGTGTGCTACGAGCATAAAATGTGTACATCCACTAGTCATCTAAAATGCGTATGGGCATGAGATAAAAAAATTCTGCTGCAACGAAACGCGACGTTGTCTCTGCAAAGTAAACGAAAAATTTCGCGTACTTGCTCTCTTCCATTCGGTATTCGTTTCTTTAGTCGCAAAGTGCCTATACAAATAATCGTCTCGCAGGATATAGGAGTGTAGATCCAACAGGTAGACCGCTGTTATCGAGAGAACGAGGCGAACGATGTAAGCGAGAGTGTTTACAGAATAATCGGTCACAGCGAGCATAAGATATCAAGGATTACTTGTAAACGAGAGAACGGAACTAGTCGACCAGTTTAAACGAAAAACTCTCTAGAAAGTATAGACGTTCTCCGCGACAACAAGACTAATTCCGTCGAATCACTTTTGATTCACACTTCACGAGACAAATGTAAAATTTCACGGGATCCATTTACGACGTGCAAGCGAATGACGCCTCCACTCGTTGGAGCCGTCTGCGGAAGACGTACCTATTTATATGACTCCAGCGCAGAATGCGTTAATAGGCTTAATACACAAAGTCTGGAAGCTCGTACGAGGTTAACCGATGCCATCTTTCTCTGGGAAAATCTTAGCGGTCGAATAAACTGTTCGGCCCTCCAAGCTAATTGAACTCGTCGCTTGTTAAAAGCCCTTCCTACGACTTCCTTCTTCGTTCTACTAACGAAAAACGCGTACGCACGAAAAGAACGATAAAAAAGGTTCGTTTAAAATATGTACAACTTCACTGCTGGAGAAAAGGAACTACGAACGTTACAGAGCATCCTGTACATCGATTACGATATCGGATCGGATTGTAACACTAGGACGTTTAAAAAAAAAATGCTAACGCATGCATGATTACGATTCGATGATGAAATCTCTCCGTAAAGCAACGTGTGGCGTGGCACAGACACTGCGATTGGAGTCGTCGCGGCCGCGATCGATAGAGCAAACGATTATAACTTCCTTTTAATCTGAAATTCGTAATTAATTCATTCGCAACTCGTTACTTACCCGCAAGTGCAGAGTTCGCAGATGCACTGCTCCTTCAAAGGGATCTTGGACAGGATGTCGGGTATATTTCCAGGCTGGACGTAGTCTCCGTCGAGGGAATCCGGCGTTTGGTCGCCCCTCTTCGGCGTCTCGTCCAATTTCTTCGGTTTTTCCTCGGGGCGACTCGGTTTCCCGGCGGCTGGCCTGTACTCAGGCTTTTCGGGAACCTTTGGTTTTCCGTCGTGACGACTCGGTTTTTCGGAGGACGGAGTCGCCTCCTCGGGTCGCGGTGCCCTTCCAGGTCTCTCCTCGGACCGACTCGGTTTTCCCGCCGCGGGTAACGGTTTCGCGGTCGAGACATAATCGCGCGGCTTTTCGGGCGATTGTGCCCTGGCACCGGTTGGTCTGCGAAAATTAAACGCATCGATCGAAAATGCTACTTCTTACGAGACGTCGCGCGAAGTACCTACGCGTTACCTTTTCGGCTCCTCAGGACTGTGGTCGCGACGAGGAGGACGGCTCGGTTTCCCAGCAGCTGGAATCGGTTTCGGTCGATCGTCCTCCCTGAGTCCAGGGATTCCTCGCGGGTAACCTGGCCGATCCGGCGAGCTTCTCCGCGGTGAATCCGTCGGAGACCTTGAAACCGTGCTGGTGAATTTGTCGAATCGGGTATCATCGACGACATCCCGCGCTACCATACTAGACACCTGCTCTGTGTCGATGAATTCGGTCGTTGATTTAGTGACATCTCTCTGCGAACATACCGCAAAAATATGATGATAATAATGATAGTTTATTTACGGGCAATATGCCCTTCTGTCCGTTCCGATTGCAACAAGTTTCGACAAATATGCGCAGATTCATTTAAAATGATATACATATTGCAATCGCGCTGGCAAGATGATAGTACACAGGATATTGTCATACATAGTTGCGGACGAATTAGTTGTGATGAATTAGATTATCATTTGTCATTGGCACAGTGTAGTTTTAACCTCGCTTTAATCCAAGCAGGATCGAATAAGAAAAATTGAGAGTCCGACGTTAATTGAACTAATATCGAGACTTTCCAATCCTCCCAGACTTTGTTAGACGTATTCCCCGTTGCCTTTACTCCGAACGGTACACGTTTCCGTTAAGCAAATGGTCTCGACGATGCTATTGCGCTTTGTCAATGAATGCAGCCCTTCGTCGCGCACCTCTGACGCGAAGGCAATTACGGAAGATTCTGCTAATCGAACTGGTTATCACCTTGCTAATTACAAGAGCTTTCACGGCAGGTTCAAAGCACCATGCTATTCGTCGGACGGATCGCAACGCTTGAAAGCGTTACCGTATTCTCTGTATTCCACGCATAATCAATTTTTTTCTACTCGATGCGAAGGACGGGAAAATTAAAGGAAAATTCCCAATTCGTTCTTACAAAATTCGCGTCGAATACAAATAATGTGGCAGCCGAATGTAAGAACGTCGCAATCATACTTGACGAAGCGATTGCGCGAAGCATTGAAATCGCGTAAAAATGAACCGCAAACACCGGAGGAAATCCCACTATCGGCACACTCGGATCAGCATTCGAAACGTTATTACGTCGCGTTTACATCACCGCCCCTTTTAGCGACGAACATAGAACTCGACTAGTAGTTCGCAAGAGGCCAATTAATTCGCGCTTGTACAGAAAATCGTTTCGTTGTGCACGGGTAAAGTTACGGCAGCACGGGCTTCTTCGATGTTTGATACCATTAAAAGTAATGTTTCGATTGAGACTCTTTTCAAAATCGGCTCGTTTATTTGTCATATAATTAACAATCGATTTTAGACGTAGACGCGTATAACGAACACCACTGTAACCCCGGGTTAAAAAGCAACGGCGGTGCTTAGCTAGACGGAATGCAGGTAATACGAGATCGTCGCAGACGCCGTTTATGCACACGCCTGCATCGTATCGCATAACCCGCGCCACTTTTGCCCGGCTGTACGTGCTCCCCGAGGATTCTGTTTCCTCGCTGAGCGAGACCCTTCGAATCTATCCTTGCGGACCGACGATCTACTCTCGAGAATGTTCGAATTCCATGGAGATTGAAGTTTCGAGTGTTCGCGCGTGATTTCTGAGAAAATTCCATTCGCAACGGACAAACAAAGATAATCTTTGTCCGTCGTTTAATTATGCCGCCACTCGCCAGACGCGCAAAGCAGATGATCGTTGATCGCTCTAAAATAGTTCCACGTATAGCCGTTTTCGGTTCGTTAACATCGATCATTGTACTTCGCGAGCACGTTCGTTCCACGGTTAAACGGCGTAATTCGATAACAAGGCTGGCGACGTTTGCTAACGTTGTTAAAGGGAACCTCCGTAACGTCTTCCGATGACGGAACCCCATGTAAACGGAAAACGGTAGAACGTTCGGCATTTCACGGGAAATTTCGCGTCGAGAACAGGAACATTAAATAATGAATCCAATAATCTTTCGTTAGCGTACCAAAGAACAATTACGCGCCTTTCGACGAGGACCCGTTGCAAAAGGGAATCGTTTTATCCTGTATTTAATTAAAACGCGCACGGCCCGTTGAGAGGTAGGAGAATACTCCCCTTAATGTGAAGCAATATGGAAGGTTTGCCCTGTATAAAGCTGCGAAATTTGTTCAACTGTTTCATGCTATCGACCTCGACGAACAACGTTACGTGAACAATTTCGTTGCGCGGTCGTTCGAAGGATCCAAAGTTCCTCGTACCCGCGATTGATTGCGTCAAAGTGAAATATACGTAGAATTAAGCGAAGCGTTCTTATTAAACACGATCATGGAATCCAATTTCGATTGTCTCGTTTCACTGGATCAGAGAAGAGAATAAAAGGCGCGGCGAGTCGATGAATTTCGCCCCCGCAGTACCTGTTGAATTCTCCCACCTCGATGGGGAATGGAATTTATATTCACTGGAATGTGTACTTCCAGAGGAGAACGCTTTTCGAAATTCATTAGAACGCACGTTATGCAAACGTTTTAGTACATGAAGCGTATAGGTCTTGTTAAAATACTGTACGAATTCCAAGTATTTACATATAATCGATCCGTCTGCGAACGATGAAACGAATCGTCGTCTACGCTGGAAAAAAAAGTGATGAATCGCGAGTTATCGTGTTTATAAACAAAACATACGGAGTTGATGACAAGAAGATGTATAACTCTCTAGCGCTAACTCTGTTCCTTTTTTGTTCCAGGTGAGTCGCGGGCGAAACAACAGAGACGAACTCACAACCTACTTCCAAAAGAATACCTCGTTGGAGGTCTTCCGACCATGCGTTTTTTCGCCGCGTAAGGTGAGTATAAACAATCATTTTGATCACTGCATCGAATACACGGCTTTGTGAAAAAAATTCGCGAAAGTCCGAAAAAGGTCCTCTCTCCATGAAATAACGCGCCAGTGATAACAACAGACCTGAATGCACTTTTGTCGTTGCGAGGAAGGTCGACGATAAACGCTACACCGAAGTAAAATTTCAGATAAACAAAATCATTTCGCACGATTAGGCTCTGACGTAACTCTGGCGTATCTCCGCGTTCACGTGCACGTATGCGCGGAAACAGGTTACCCAAAATCCAGTCGTTCGTAAAATTTTTAAAAATTAATCGAGAAATGAAGCAATTGTTTAAGAATGATTGGGCAGAAGAGGTGGGCATAGGTAAGCGCAGCAGACCGATAGAGTGACCTGTGCACCTTGTTTACGTACAATGATGTCGGCTGCCATAAATTCCGCAGCTGGTTGGTCGGTATGCGCTGTCGTACGCAGGCATTATCAACCGGAGGAAGGTTACGCGATTCAGCGCACAGGCGTGTGCTCTTGGAAGTCCGTACGCTAAGGAAACGGAGTCGTACACGGTGACATCATTCGCGAGTTTGGGTATCGATCATTTTTCTCGAGGTCGATCGGTCAGGTTCAAACAGAAACGATAAAGCGCGTCGCGGATAATCGCGAGTACCCGGTAATCGGGGTTAAGCATGACAAATCGGAGATCACGACATGAAATCGAATTGGTCCCGGATCGAGCGGCTGACTAACAGCCGATGACATCACTTTCGAATTCGATGTGCACGACGAATGATAACTGAAGAAAAAGAAAACGTCAGTTTTTAACCCTTAAATGCCCTAAGTTTCAAAGTCGATACCGGATTTTTAAATCGAATTTTTAAATCGTACACTTGTTTCTAATATTTGCCTGTATGTATGTTGCATGATGTTCTTTTGAACGAAAGTTAAGAAAATGAACGTCAGCTGTCAGAATTGTTCAAATAATAAAAATATATCGATATCTTTTTAAATTTAATTTGTACGATCAGGGTTCCGAGGGTTAAATCGAATACATATCAAACGGATTGGTACGAAAAAAAGAGAGCTTTTAAAATCTGTGAACCCGTTTGCGACACGAAATATCGCATAGCTCGGTGACAGGTGCCGGTGTTGCAGACGTCACGAATGCAGAAAAAGTGGCGCAATCCGAGTCGAGCGAACCGGGTCAAAGGTCGAGATCGCGTTTGAACGCGAAGCGTAGAAAATTGATCGCTGAGATTGATGCCCGTGACACTTGAAACTCAGTCGATGTAGTTTTAAACGAAGCAGGCGAAATCGAGATGAGATCACTACCGAACCTGGCCATGTTGAACTTGAATTATTATCGCTTTATTTAACGAGCAATTAGAGGTGATTATAGGTGATTTCAGTTGCGTGCGCACGACACACGCCGCCGGGAGTTCCGGCATCTCGTATTAGCTACTCGACGGAACAGATACTCGCGCCAATTTCATCGCGTCGCTTATTATGCCCATCTACGGCGGGATCTCGGTCGAGCTAATAACTATTTACACCGGCTCGAGCTCGAAATCCTCGGTTTGTGAACACGATTCGCCTCAGGGACTGCGTCATTCCAGGAGGAAAATAGTTACGCGACCGGGCTCGATAATCTCTCGCTAAACGTTAGCGATCATCGTCGGGGTCGTGGACGAAAAATAATTACGGTGGCGCGTCCATTGAGAATGGTTGATACTTCGTCGAGCGAGTACGCGTCGAAATTCATTCATCGAGCGTAAACTTGAAGTGAATGAACACGAAGAACGGTACGATATCAAAGTAACGAAGAGAACAGAGCAAAGAAGAGTAAAAAGGTGTACGGCGATAATAATGAACTGTTTATCGACCCTACACCGCTAATTTTTCTGTCGTGTTCTCCATATTTCTCTCCTTCGACCTAACTACGGTACGTCAGCTTTATTTTTAACCGAATAACGCGCGAGAACCTACGACCTTCGCCTGATTTGGAAGTGAAAGTACAGACCGAGCCTCTTCCGCGAGGTGCGTAACTCGACTCGGTGTTTGTTTTATTTCCTCTGAAGCGTAGAAATCGTTTTCATTCAATTAAGGCATGCGTCACGGTGCGTCGTTTAATTATTGGAAAAAATTAAGCGTTCGCTCCGTTTCGATGAAATGTACGCGAGCATCGTTATTTATTCATCGTAAGACGAGGCATTTCTCTTGTCGCGTTGTAAAATTATAAATTTGAACGCGTATTCTACGATATGTTCGACGGTACGTGTACGAATTTACAATTTTACGACACGTCTTGCAAGGAGCAACCAACGAAGGTTATTCATCCACTTATTGAATTATCCGTGTTCCACGTTCGATTAATTACTTCTTCTATTAGTCTTCTTAGACTGAAATTTACTTGTTGCGATTACGTTATTTTCTGGCGCGATAAGCGAGGTCAGCTTTCGCGTAGAAACTTGATTCAATAAAAGAACAGAGGACCGTTGTTGAGTTGGTACGCGATAATCTTTCGAGGAACAACGTCACCCACTGTACATCTTTTACCGCGCCACAAATAAGGATATTAAGTAATGACTCGTCGTTACTCACCACGTCTTTACGCGTATCCGTCGTGAATTCGCTGATGACACGTTCCTCGACCACGTCGCGAACGTCCTGCACCGAGGTGAGGCCGGACGATTCATCGATCACGTAAGAAGATTGCTGGACCACTTCGATATCCGTGCTATCTTTGACTTCTCGTAGATCCGCGACATCGTGCGTGACGATCGAAATCTGCGTGGTATCGTCTTTGGGGACGAGGGACGAGGGTTTATCGTCTTTCGATTTCTCTTTCGGTCCCTTTTCCCGATCTTCCGGTTTCGTCCGATCAGCCGGCTTCTTTCTCTGATCTTGTGGTTTTTCGTACACGAAGGAACCGTCCCACGTGGAAGCGCCCGGCTTCGTTGGTCTCGTCGTCTTATCAACGGGACTCTTTTCGGGACTCTTGGGACGTCTCTCGGGAGATATCCTTCCATCCTCGAGGCGTCCTCGAGGTCCGTTCGCAGGCTCGTCGGGACGTCTTTTGTCGTCGATCTCGCAAACGAGGCTCGTAGAAACTTTCGACGAATCTAGAACCTCGGAATCGGAAACAAACGTGCGCTCCAGAACGGTGGAAGTGACGAATTCCGAAGTCTGAACATCTGTCGAGGTGTCCGAAAGGGTAATCGATTTTTCGGTGAAGTAAGTTGCATTCTTGTCTTCCGGTACGTTTCCAGCATCCGTTGGCGGAGTCTGAGTCGGAGCTTGTTTATCAACGGAATGACGCGCGACGTCTATCGGTGTCCTCTTGTCGCTCGGCTTCTCGGCAGGTTTTTTGTACACGAACGATCCGTCCCACGTCGAGGCGCCGGGCTTCGAAGGTCGAACGGATCTGTCAGTCTTATCGGGACTCTTGGAACGTTTCTCGGGCGTTTTCGGAGCTGCAGGTTGCGATCGAGGACCTTTGCGCTCCGACGGTTCTTTCTCGGGACTCTTAGAACGTTTAGGAGTTTCGTCGATCGTGATCTTCTTCGGCGTGGACGTTGGAACGCCGTTACGGAAAATAACCGTCTCCATAGAGCTCGTGGAGTAGTCCAGATTCGAGGAATCGGAGTAACTTTCGTGGGTAGTCGACTGCTCCATGACGACAGTGTTGCCGTAGACTTCCGAAGTGTTGGAGACATCTCGGTGGTCGATGTCGCGAATATCCAACGTGGTATCGGTAACGTGTCTCCTCGATTTCGGTATGGGACTCTCGGGCTGCGATTTGTCCGTCGGTCTCTCGCCGATAGACTCCCTGCTGGCCGGTCTTCTCGTTTCCGAAGGCTTTTCCGTGACAAAGGTTCCATCCCACGTGGATGATCCAGGCTTAACGATCCTGATATCCCTACCTTTAGGTGTTTTCTCGGGACTCCCGGGTCTGCTCGACGGACCATCCTGTCGTACGGGTTGTATGTCAAAGACCACCGTCTCGTGTATAGAGGAGAGACTAGAATCTTTGACGTCGGTAAAACTCTGTTGACTGGACGAGTGTTCGACGATGTAGGACGTGGACGAGATTTCGGTCTCGTTTAACGAATTGTCTTCCGTGACGTCGCGGATAACCACAGAGTCGCTCGCTCCTCGCGTGTCTGGCTTACGACGACGCTCCGGAACCTGGGGTTTCTCGTAAGTGAAGCTACCGTCCCAAGTAGATTGACCAGGTTTGTAACTTCTAGTTGTCGTGTCCGCCTTGGTTACCTTTTCCGGAGTTCCCGTTCGCCGAGGAGAGCCACTTTCTCCGGTGTCTTCCTCGAGAATCGTCTCGGAGATGGAAGTCACCTTCTCGACGTTCCTCTTCTTCTCGATATTTTGCACCTTCTCGTCGCTGAAGGTTGCGTATTCCACGACGTAGGAGGTCGAGACGGACTCGGACATACTCGAAGCATTGTGCTCTTCCGTGACGTCTTGAACGTCTACGGAATAGTGCCGTTTCTCGTTCGTCTTAATCGAAGACGACGTGTTGTGATCATTTTGCGGCTTTTCGTAGGTGAACTGTCCGGACCACGTGGAATCTCCGGGTCTGGTAACGCTTCGAGTCGGCGACGTCCCGTCTTTCATCGGTTTCCCGTCGATATTATTCTCTTCCGTGACGTCTTGAACGTCTTCGGAATAGTGTCGTTTCTCGTTCGTCTTAATCGAAGACGACGTGTTGTGATCATCTTGCGGCTTTTCGTAAACAAACTGGCCGTTCCATGTGGAATCCCCGGGTCTGGTAGCCCTTCGAGACGGCGACGTCCCGTCTTTCATCGGTTTCCCATCGATGTAAATCTCTTCCATGACGTCCCTGCGTTCCTCGGCTATAAATCTCGACGAGTCCGTGGCACCGTGTACCGTGTGAACCACGTTCGACGATTTCTTTTCGTAAGTTCCATCGGAACTCTTCTCTCCATAATCCGAGCGTTGCGTCGATTCTACGACGTTATCGCCGCCAAAGTGCTGGAAGACGGACGCGTCGGAAACGTTTCTTCTTCTGGGCTCTAGATGCTTCTCCGTTACGAAAGTACCATCCCACGTGGAATCTCCCGGTCTCGCGTTTCTGAGCGCTCCCTTCGAATGCACTTCCGTCGTAACTCGTTTCTGTGCATCCGCGAAATCGGTCGTGTCCCCGATGGTATCCTCTCGAGAGTCGCGGATCGTCGATGCAACGTTGCTGCGATCGAAGCTCTCGCGGCTGGTCGAGGAAATCCGAGCGTCGTCGACGACTTTGCTATCGCGAATCACCGACGTCGTGGACGACACGCGCTGATCGTTGATCGTGGTCTGTTCGGAGACTTGAACGCTCGACTCGTAGCCCTGTTTCCCGGTGGTAACTTTGGAAACCAGACGATCTACTTTCGCCTTGTCGCGACTGTCCCGATCTCCGCGAGACGTCTCGAGGTTTCTCGCGGAGTTTCTGTCTTTAGCCGATGGCGAACTTTCGCTAATAAACGTACCATCCCACGTAGACTGGCCAGGCTTGCCGCACCGGGTGACAATTTCGCTGACTTTTACATTGCTCTTCGAAGTGCTTTCACCGGCGTCGACGACGGCGGAGGAGCCGCGAAGGATCTTGTCGCCGGCTGTTCTGACGTCATCCGTGAGTTTACCTCGGCCTAGGTCCGAGGGTACGACCGTGGTCTCGTTGTCGACGTTGCGACTCTGCGAGGACGTCACCAGTCCGTTGTCGTCGATTTTCTCCCCTGTTTCGCGGATTTTCGTTGTACTCGAAACCGTTTGGCCGTCCTTAGTGCACGCCTCGTAAGTCTCCTTGCTCGCCACGTTGCTTTCGATGGATTTCGACAAAGTTTGCACTGATGGCTTTTGTTCCCCGGTCGCGGTTCCGTTAATAATTCTCGTTTTCGACAAATCGTTGCTGTAGCCTTCCATAGACGACGACGTCTCCACCATCGTCGTCGAGGAAACTGATTTTTGAATGGTTTCGGCGCGAGATTCGCTACGGCTTTGCATCTCCGTTGATCTCTTACCGGCTTCCAAGATGTCCCCGCGAACGACGTCTGTTACGTTTTGCGAGCCTTCCGATACGGTTCTACCCTGTTTAAGGGATTGCGTCTGTTCCTGCGCTATAAAGTCTTGGGAGCTTTTCCCTGTTCTGCAAGTAGACGTTGTCTGTCCGACGATCTGTGGGACTGTCTCGATGACCTTGACGATGTTACCCTTGGAATCCATGATAACTTCGCGACTGCCACTGGTAACCTCGACGACGCTGCTCGTGGACTCGCTCTCTATCACCTGCCTCGCCTCTTCGACGACGCTCGTCGACGATACCACTTCCACCGTCTCGACGGTCGTCATGTCTGACGAACTCGAGCTCGTGGCTATCTCCTTCGTAATTCCCTTCTTGGTTTTTCCTTTCGTTTCACTGGGCTTCTTGCGTATAGTCATTTTGACGCGGTTCGATCGCGTTCACTGCTTCGCGCCGAGCTTTCATACGAATCCAACACGCGTAGCGATACCGAACACGCGCGAACGTCCCGCACGCGAACAAAATATGTGCAAACGAACGAAAGATAAGAAACAAAAACTGCGAAACGTTTACTCGTCGCGAACAACACGCGTTTCGTAAAGTTTGCAACGATCTCCCGGATCGGTGCGAGGCTTCGCCGTGCCCGGCGTTGTTTGCAAACTCGTTTCTTCTCGTCCCCGAAGAAGCCGTTGGCTGCGTGCGCGTAACCGCGATTCGCTTCTCGCTCTCTCTCTCTCTTATCTCTATTCGACGCGTTCGTCTCGGTGCGGAACGACAGTGGTCGTGTGTAACGCGACGATGGGAGAAGCTTCGTTGAACCGATGTTCTCGGTTCGGTACCGCGAGTCGATGTGGCATCGACGATCGCTCGCTGGCCCTAGTGACCACACGGTGTTGCGTTGCTCTCCGTCGCTACCATTGCCACGACGTACGCGAGGCACGACTCTTTTGCCTGGAGAACGCCGATCCGGCCTCCCTACTTTTCTCTCGCGTGTCGCACGGCGTGGGATGTTACCGCGTACTCGCGTCCATGTGCACGTACACGATATCCTTCTGCTCGATTCTCATTGTATACCGTTCGTGTGGGTAGACCAAGTAGAGACACCACTCTTCCTCGCTACTCTTTTTCTCGCGAAGATCTCCTCCGATCGTCCTCGTTCTCTTTTGCCCGTACACGCGGTTCGCGCCGATCCTGATCCTCTTTCCGTACGAATTACAGCCAGCGAGGACTACTCGAGTCCGTTTTCGCTTTGGAAATTCTACCTTCGATTCCATCTAGCTCTAACTTTCGTGAACTTTGCTCGCGTCTGTACAGCTATCGCTGTAATACCGTTCTTCGTCCGATCGGTTAGGTGCTTGTTTTTCATCGAACGCTAACCGCGGCGACACGAGATGCAGCAATTAATTCGCGTCTCGACGAGAGGCTTTCCGTGATCTCGCGTCATTCGATACACAGGCGCCAAGGATACACACACCGACGGTAATCGCGAATTCACGCACGCACGAGACGACGTCGTCGTGTAACCTTGCTCCGGGTGACAACTTCAGTTTCTATCTTTTTTCGCGGTAAGCAGACAGGTCACGGGTCGCGCTCCCGTTTGATTTCTTTACGTATCTTTGTAAACGGAAAAAACGCGTCGGTATACGTAGGAATGTACGGGATGGGAAATACGCGTTCCAGGATAGAGTTAAGATAGGTCGAGATTCGTCGAAATAGCGCTTTGTTTCGCTCTAAGGAGAACAAACTCTTTAAATGCGAGCTTCTATTTCTGCGCGCCGCTTACCATCCGTAAAAACGCGTACGTGCAGTTTTCTCTTTCACTCGTCGATTACGCGAAACACGTAAGAGGAGAAAATTCTCTTTCTTTCGCGGTTCTACGGGAACGCGCGTATTTGCTCGCTATTCTTCTCCTTACGCGGCGAAAGACGTTAACGGGTAGCGATGGGTTCGAGCGCGTCGCGAGTAGGCTCGATATCCGATGAACTCCATTCGATCGATTGGTCGAATCAAACTTTTGGAAAACAGTGGGAGCAGAGAAAGTCCTTCCAATATTACAAAGGAAAAGGAACAACGTTCCGCTTCCTATTTTCATCCTTTTTCGTTGCCCGTTTAGCCGTGACACGGTGTTTTCTTGTTTTGCCGGCAAAGATCGAGCTAGCGAGTTCGAGTAGGAAACGAACGCATCGAAGAGAAGAGACGCCAGGAGGGAACACCTTCACGGAAACCGGTCCCTCGTGATGTCTGGATGTAAACCGGGCGATGACGTAGACCGCAGAGGCCGCGACGACCGGCATAACACGATGTTTTAAAACGACCATCTGACCGCGAAAAACCTGCAGTTTTCATCGTTCCTATTACTCAATGTTGGGCTTCCTTAGACTCCCCCGGGCACAGAATTCCGTAACCTCTACCGTACCATTAAACGAGTATGTGTTGTAGCCGTTTCGCGAGAACAGGATTAACCCTTTGACCTACGATTTACCGTAGGATCGTGAATGTCACAATCAAGTATAAAATTCCTTGTTGTTGTACGTTAAGGGGTTAAAAGAATTCGATGACTTTTGCGAGTAGGTGTACTCAAAAATAGCTGTACAACTTTTCGTGGTTAAAAAGTCACCCGTCGTTCCCCTCGAGGTGTCGGAGCGACGAGCGCGCGCCGATGGTCGTTATTTTCACGTGCACAGTCGTGGATATAGTGGCTGATTGCACCGCCGGCAGTGCCGCTAACGAGCCAGAAGACACGAACGAATTATCGTTGGATTGCCTCGTACAACCGTGGATTTATCGCACGGAATCGGTCTCTCGAAAGAGACTTATCGCCGACGTCGACGAGTACGCTTCCGGGAACCCCGAAATCTTCCGAATACATATGTTCTAGACACAGACCACCCATCAACACCCCCCGTAATTTCGCTTCTAACGTCTATCGAAACTATCTCGGACGTTGTTGCGTAACATCGTTACGTAACGATGATTCGTGGCTGCCGGATCGGCGACGTTTAACATCGTCGATGAGCTTTCGTATAGTGCGACATCATTGCCGGATTTGTCGTTACCGAGGATTACACGAAACGAGCATGGATCCGTTCGACCTTGATACTTTGAAAAAATAAATCGATGATGCAACAGGAAATGCGACGCGCGACACGAGAAACGTTCACGGAATCGGCATTCGTTCGCGAGATTCGACTAGATTCGATGTTTAAAAGATGGCCGATGATTGCAATCTTTTTGAAATCTTTCGGAACTTTTGGTCATCGAACGCCGCGTATGGAAGCATCGCTTCGCGATGATCCGTCGACCACTCTCGCTACCAAAAAATCGAGGACAAAGAAATGCGCGCGATCGATGTCGATTTTGGTTAAGGAGCGAAAGTACCACGCCCGTCTACGCGGATTTCCCATAAAAAGTGTCGTCGGGTCGTAGCGTGGGTAGGAAGCCTGCAGGCGCTGCTAAGCGAGACCAACTTCGATGCTCCGTATTTGGTGAATGCGTCGAAGTCCGTAGGCGAACCAGCAAACCGGTCGACCGCGTCATCCGGGGACCAACCGCACAGACAACCAGACCCCGCTATCTTCGTACGGAAACTCGACGGAATAAATGTTACGTATCCTAGCCGTGTGCATCATTCTCCTGGTTTGCGCGAGGTAAACGTTCGTGGAACTACCATCGAACTCCCATGAGTCATTTCTCCGAAAAATTAGCCATGAGCCACTTCGTAGCTTTTCGACGGCCGCGAACTGCAGCCGAACGAAATGGATCCTTGCGCGAACTTTCCATTCGCGGACGTTGATCCATAGGTAGCGTAGGAAGAATTAAAGGTCGGTCTTCGAAGGATTCGAGAGTCGTATCGGGTCAGACATCTTACTCAGCCTTCGTAAGATCTGTGACTAAGCAAAAGTTACTCGCAGCATTCTGCTCACCGCCGATACCACATTCTCGTTAATCCGACACCGATCTTTCTTTCTCCCTGCGACGGCGATACGCGTAACCAAGAAACGAGTACCATTTATGAACGGTCGAGTTGCCACTAGACCAGAATTCGTCCCACGCCTTTGCAAACGATTTACCTCTACGAAAACTACGGTGCTATCAATTGGGAAAGTTGGGAAAACATTGTGTATCCCCTTGGCGTTCCTCGCGAAGGCCGCGATCGAATTCCAATGCGGCGCGACGCGATGCCTCGATCGGGCTCGATCTCGGAACGCGAGAACTTTTGCAACGTTACGTGCAGCGGATCGAAATCGATCGTTTTCTCACGGGCGTACGTCGATATTTATGGTTAACAGGGTTAAGTATATTTGAAGAAAAAGTCAGCGCGCCTCGCGTAAATCAGGCTATCCTTTTCCGCGCTCCGCTCTCCCCGGGGAGAATCGAAAGTCGGTCCCGGCTGGCCTCCCTTTATAATGGATCGTGCCATAATGAAGCACGGTACGGCACGTTCTCTTATTAATTAACGTTAAAAGGGAAACTTTTGTAATTCCGCTTTAAAGACCAGCCAGTCTTCTCTGACCTCCACGCAGACGCGGTCGTTCCTATCGACGCTCGGGATCTTGACATATCAGAGTCCCGAAAAATGACTCGCGAGTCAGTTGTCAAAATTGTTCGAATAATAAATACATTGATATTTTTTTTTTTTTTTTAATTCAATTTGGAAAATCAGGCTTCTAAGGGTCAAGGAGTCGAACCATGATTTCTAAAACGCCCGTCATCGTTCCTAAAAATATTCCGTTTTATTTTTCTTCGTTTGTAAGATGAATTCTTACTCGAAGCATAAACGGTGTTTACGTTTCGTGGAATCGAACGCGCTCTTTCGCGAAACTATCTTTATTCCCGATAATGTACACACGCGAAAGCTGTCGGCTGGAACGCTGTACTTATAACGCTCTGTGAACCCACCCTCGTCAACGTCGCACAAAGCGAAACGAATGCACGACCACGCATGGCTACCCCCGAACAGCACCGAATACGTCATTCTCGTGAAGTCATCAAAGGCTAGGGCTACATATTGTTATTCGCGTGCAAACTGTAATCACTCTGCGCGTGCATGCGAACGACATAAGTACCGACCTTTTCGCGTTCAACCATCGATAACTCCCTGATAATATTCTTCCAGGGAATCCATCACTGTCGTGGAATTAAGCTATCGATTAAATCGCGATCTAGTTTAAAGAGATATTCCCTCGAGAGTGTACGAAAAATGATTCCTCGTAATGGACCGAGGGGCGCAATAACGTGGCCGACAAAGGTGCGTTAAACTTTATGAAAAACGTGTCCACTGATTCAACCAGAAACCCTCCGGGGAAGACTCAAGCACGTAATGAAAAGTTTGGTGGCAGACACGGCCGTTACAACAAAGATCGCGTTGAAGCATTGACCGCCTTTAATGCCCGTGATTGCGAGGAAGGATGCACGAAACGGGGACGTCCGTGAGTCGCATTGATTTACGTTAAAGGAAGTCGATGGACCGACATCGGTGTCCACGAGACAAAAACGAAGAAAAAGTAACGCCAGAGGAGGCGCGTTGCATCTCGTTGCGTTCGAGGCAAACGGTCCATAAGCGGACATGCGAATTTAACGTCGGTCCCAGTGGGATGGAAGGGGATGAACGCGGGATTGCATTTGCAGTCCGTGATGTCATGGACCGTTTCGTCCGAACGTCTTACCGGGGATCAGCGGACGGGCAATCCGTGATAAAGTGATAAATATTCGCGAGCGTTTTGCGAAGCCCATCGAGACTCTCTCGGCGAGACGCTGAGGATCGAGGGTTCGCGTTTCTCCGCAACGGCCATGACACTAAATTATCCAGCGACTTGTACAGCGGTTGTCAATCCACGGTTACAACGGCGATCGCTCCATATACGCGCGTCGCGACGCGATTAATCATCTCTCCAGACGACCATGTACTTGAGAAACCAGAATGCCCAGACCCCGTTTCCACCGAATTCGATGATGCACGCACAAGCAAAAGAAGCAACTTACCAGTCTTTTCAAGGGCTGAGGGTTCTTTTAGAACTCAATTCTCAGTGAAAACATCTTTACTCGAATTCATTTTTCCCTTGGGGTTCGAGAGTGCGAGACTCCCCTAACAGTCCATCGATTATTCTTTTTCTTCTACAACGTCGTAGGAAACGTAGGAAGGCGGCCACCTTGTCGAATGCCGTGTAAATAAATGCAACGCGATCGTCCCGTCGTCAACCAGCCAGCCCACCCACGGAAAACGAAGCAACGGGACAACCGTCGCTAGCACGAGAAAGAAGTTCCGCGATGAAAGCGGTAGACGCGGCGAATAATTGATCGAACGTATGCGCGATATCGATTAGCCTCGAGCGACTCTGAAACCCCGACCCGATCGTCCTGTCACAAAAGGTAGCGGTCACCTGCGAAGCCGCGTTATCGACGGAAATGTAATTACGATCTTGATATTAACTCCGGCGTGAATTGAATCGTGGTCGTTGAAATTCCATGACAGCCGCTACAGAGACATGCAATTTCGGCCTCGTGTTCACGCGCAAAGGCGGGACAACACAACGATGAACGGAAAATTCTCACAACGTGTCGGGATCATCGATAATATAGCCGTCGAACGACGCTTATAACTAAACTACGCAAATTACCTGCAACATTACCCAATGTATAGTTAATCGTTTCATTTTCACGGTTTGAACGGTCAATTTTATTTTTTGTTAACTTCTTACGATAACGTGGATTAACTTCAACTTGTACAACTTTTGTACTATGGGTATCATGGTATAGCATATCCAAGTAATATTCGTCGAGTCCTTTCTTTCGATTTCACGTAATTACCATCGAATCTTGATATAGCTCGGAAACGCAAGCGTAAACGTAAGGTCGAACGCTGCTACTTTGTAATCGGCTACGTACTCTGGGTATATGCTGACGGATAATGATATTGACTGCTTGCTAATATTAGCATTTTTCGGAAAGACATTCCATCGGCCTGCTGGCCTACATATCGGTCGCGTGCCAACGCACGCGAGGCCTATCTTGTTTGCGCTGAATTTCATCGGCACGGCCGAATCAACGCGAATCGCGCCTGTGCGCGAGCATACCTATGCACGAACGCATGTCTTTGGCACTGCAGATGCGGTTACCACAGAGAGTATCGACGAAACAACGGGAGTTGCATCTACGCGATACTCAAAGACGAGGCGCAACTGGATCTATTCCGACGGATGCATACGAAACATCTATTTCTTTTTTTTTTTTTTTTAAGGCTTTCGGTTCGCTATTAAACGTACTACGTTTAGCATCGTGAATAATAGGTATGCTCTAAAGGTGCAGGAAACGTGACCCCTACGAGGGGCGTATTGCGAAATAATGACAACGATTTATTGTTTCGGATAAGTTACATACCCTTCAATCGTCATTGAAAACAAACGATATTCGTCGAGAAAACGGTGAAAAGTAAAGACGAACGCGATAAGAATCGATCAACGATTATCGCGTGGTTATACACCGTTGCGTTCAAGGTATCGTGTAATCCGATTCTGAGAATATTGTATAGTACCATTCATAATTGGTGGAACGGTTGTACGCGACTATTTCTATAGAAATCTTTTATTAATTTTTATTGCGCGGCAATATGAAATTCCTGAATACGCACGGTTACGGTTTCGATATCGACATTCTTTTATCGCGAAAATTAATTGAGTTAATTATGGTGGATCGATGCTTCATTGAACGCAGATACTTTCAAAAGAAACGTTACACTTCTGAGATGATTGCGTCGCTTTTCGTACGCGTAGCCCCTGAAAAACGGCAACCCCTACTGCACCGCTGTAAGGCACGCGGCATTATCAGGATCACTACATACGCTTTCTCAAGAAAATGTTTCATAGCGTTCCATTTAAAAAATAATTACCGTCAACGTTATTGTATTACCAACAGCAAATTAATTTCAATAATTAATATAATTGTACCGATGCCTTGTATGAGATGTTCTCTCTTCCAAGATTTCATACGGTAGCGAGAAAATCGTTGCGCGTAAAAAAACTACGAATTCTTCAACTTTAAACGTAATTCGAGACAGACAGAAGGCTTTATAGTCGTGAAAATTACACTCTCCGGTGGACAGATCAAAGGTGGACCCGCGTCTAATATAACGTGACACGCGCAAAGAAATCCATCCTTTTATCGTTCTCAAAAGGAAAAGAGAATTTACTTTACGTTTCCTTTGGTCGTTATTCGATAGTTTTCGTGTTTCGCGTTTTCAAATTAAAGAATTGACAGTTTAACATGAAGCGTTCATCACAACTTGAAGTGTCGCGTGTTCGAATCTAATAACCGAAATGAAAAGAAAGAACGACTATTTATTTTAGTCATTGGCGATCCACTTGCGAATAGCCAGTCCTATATAGCTGTGAACACGATTACGAATGACGAAATAATTCAAACAATACTTACCTCTACTTATGTCATTCTACCGACGATTAGACATAACATCACGTCGATCACCGCCTTCGAGGAAGATGATCTCGATCACTCTTCGATCATTGCCAAATTATGGCATCGCGGCACTGATCGTTGCGTGAGTCACGGGTATGTCGTGGTATTACAATGGATTTTTTTCGCGATTAAAATCGGTCATTTGGTGCATATTCGGTAACGGCGAGACGCCGTTGCACCGACGGCGATTCGCACCTCACAGATACATCGCGACGTCTGACGACGTTCCCGCGCCCATTGGCGTCGAAACGACGTCGTCATGGCGACCGCACACAACACCCTCTGCACATGCGTATTCCGTTTGTATCGTGTCACATCATGCACCTTTTACGCGCCAATATATAGGGTGCTCCGAAAACGTTGGTAGCCAAATTTCAATAGAAATAGGAACTCGAAAATAAATGCTCTTATTGCTCTACGATATAATTACACCAAACAGTATCAATGATGGAAATGTTTGACCCTCGATGTAACAATGGAGTAAGTGTGGAGTGGTGAGAGTACCTACGTACGAATCTACAATTTCACATTACTTTAAAGTAAATTAATTCAATGTAATTTTTTTTTTCAAGAAATATATGACTTTCATAATTATAGGCACATATCATCATTTCCAACAATTATGTCAAAGGTCGAAGTTATTTTGATGATAATCTGACCATGTTATGATTATTATTCATTATCTGCAATTTTTTTTTCGAATATCATGATACCAAAACATAGGTTAGAATTATGTAATACGATTTGAATTTTATAGGAGATTTCTGAACACATTTAATACTTAGATTTTTAAACATATATTTAGTAAAAGTACGATGATTATAAACATTTATTCTTTTATAAAAATAGTTGTTAGCAATACATGATATTTATAACATGACATCGATATATTAAGTTGACTTCATGAATATATTTGAATACCTTATTCTTGTAAGCTGCGTACTATGTTCATTTCCTGTATATAACATTTGGAATGTAAATGTTTAAATGTATACAAAAATATTCATTTATACATGATGAAGGAATAACAACTATAAAATTATATGATAAGAAACAAAAACATAACAAAAAATTTCCCAGATTAAAGATAATATATCAAGGTACTAATAGCTTGGTATACAGTAGTACCCACTCCAAAAAAGAAGGCTATGGCTCTAGCCGGTTGTTGTGGAACAACAGCATACACAAGTGTGTGCGTAATCCGGGCAAGTACAAAAGTTCTGATTAATATTCCAGCCAACCATGTAGAAGGTCCGGTAGTTAACCACAAAAGTGTGACCACATACCAAATAGGAATGTTTTCTAAGTCATTCAAATGTGCTCTACGCACACGTTCAATATCAGGGTCATTGTAAGCAACTTTAGCATTTTTCAGGATCGCTTTGACATCTTCAGGATTTGCAAATATCTGCAACAACATAAAAATTATAGTATTTCTCATTCGCGTCTAAAATATAAAATAAACCTTTCTTATTATTAAAAAAAATTACCTTTTTTTGAAATCTGTAACGTGCAGTTAGCGGTATCATTGCTACTAATTTTAGAGCAAGTATACTGCCCCAAAAACCAAAAATTTTCAACAGTTCTGGGTTTATAGGAACCATGTTCGATACAGATGTATCTATTTCGAATATCTTAAATTTAAAGCGATCACGTTTTTCGTTTAGGCAAACCAAACTTTAAACACTGTGTTCAATGTTAACAGAATTGTGAGAACATCCCATTGATGTACCTTACATTTATAGAACACGAAAGATTAAAAGAAGGGAGGGGGAAAGAAACGTGAAATCAAAGAAATTGAATGTCATCATCCTACGTCTTTGAGTACATAGAATTGAGTCTATATACTCAAAGTCCTACGTCGAAATTTTTTTACCAATAACTTAAAAATATAAAAGGATATATCATATATTTTTGTATTTTGATATTCATAAGTCGTTATATTGTGCATAGAATACAATACGTATCTAGATAAGTTTAAACGTTTCTTAAGTACGTATGTATGTGTACATAAATATATTCACCATTGACGCTAATAGGCCCTTTATATTTTTGTCCAAAACGATCCAATGAGATCTCGCTGCGTCTCAACTTTCGCTGATAGGTTATTGCCGGCGCAACGATATCCAATCAACGTTCGTCTTAAGCGAGTACCGTACGAACGAAAAGTATAAACATTGATACTTAATGCGTGACTAGATAAGAAAATCCATCGTAACGATTGGAGTGCGGCGATTGGTCGTTCAAGGCTTATTTTCACTTGAAATTCGTGAGCGTTGAGGGGAAAATAGGGGAATATCGTATCGCGCATGCGCGGAGAGTAACGCTGACGCAGAAGGTACGTCAGCTGTTTTGTTAGAGTTGCGTGCATCGGGAATGGTGTATTGTTGACTGCAGAGGCACTTCACAGTTTGTAGGTCCGATCGAATTTCTTTGTTTATTTGGTGTAGAGAATCGTACCGTATCATCGTGGATAACGTCCTGCCGCGTGTAAAAGATTACGACGCGTAGAGGTACGGCCAAGGAAATCGCGGTAGGGGCCTCGAATTACCTGGTGGAAAGCCGTTGGAAATTGATTCTCTTGGGAAGGAGCAGTGTTCGCAAAGGCGTCCGTCCGACTGTGGTGCTCCGTGCTACCACTTCAGGAGGTTTTGGACGTTCTCGTTTCGGGAACGGACTGCAATTGTAATTCCAGAAGGGAAATATGGCACAACCAACGAGTAGTGCTCTCAGGGCACTTGCCCTCGAATATAAAAGTCTTCAAGAGGAACCCGTCGAGGGATTCCGCGTAAAACTCGTTAACGAGGACAACATGTTTGAGTGGGAAGTTGCTATCTTCGGACCTCCGGATACGCTTTACGAAGGAGGATACTTCAAGGTAAGGTTTTTACAATTGTACCTAGTTTCTGTTCGTTCCCTAAACATCTTGGAAGTAACAACTTCTATACGTTGTAAGCTTATAATATATGTGTTCCTCGTGCAGATATTGCCATGTAGAGTAGGCTTTCCATTTTGTTGGTTATGTTTCTGATTTCTCTTTTGATCCGTGCGAGTTCTAACGCACACTTACACATGTGTTTGTTGTATAAATTTTACGGTTATCACGTTCCACGGATAAAATATCACCAGACACGACTGCAACGTGTTTTCATCGCGATGTAAGGATTATTTTGTGTACATAGATCTCAATCGTAATATGTTTATCTTACACCGCTATTGCGTCGAAATTCGTCTAAAAACCGAATCTCGTAAACACGTTTTTGACAATGTGATTCCTCGTTTGGAACACACGAGTCCGTGCTTGGCGTCAACCTTGAGGAATACTTTTCAAAAAAGTTGAGTGTTCTTTAGCGGTTCCGCGTAAAACTATACGGTGATGGCACGCGAAGTATACGTTCACCTTGACCAGAAAAGCTGTAATGCTAACGTTGGCCTTTCCTTTTTTTTTTCGATTTCAACGGTAATAGACAATACGATGTTCGCTACCGTCGATTCACTCGTCGTTTAATTATTAAGTTATCCAGAAAGTTCGTGCCAATTTCTAAGAAACATTCAGAAACACGTTTGAATATATATATTTATTGAATTACATAGGTGCCATTTTGTTCCACAACCTTTCCACCTTTTAAGGAATGCACGCATGTTAATTGTTTTCAACCACTTCAATATATTCAGACCTGTACCAACTACCATAAAATCGACATGGACTTTCCGGACAAACCGATACAATTTCGCGATTTTTTAAATGGCACAAACCGAGAGACTTTTTAGACAGCCTTGAGCAATCCTGGAAACTAAAGATTACACAATGTAAGCGGATCGAATGACCTGCATTCTGCGACGATTTTAAACCTTCGACGCGATGCTGAGTTTCCTTTCGAGTTATTCCGGTGCGTATCGATGAATCATTTCTCGAAATTTTCAACGGAAATAACGTGTCGGTAACGAATTTGTCGATATTAAACGATAAACTTCGCAATTGTAACGAGAGGAAAGCCGTCGTGTTCGCGATAGTACATTTCCTGCGTTTATATTTATTTCCTTCGACGGATAATGGCGATATCGTTACGCGTTTGGCCTAGTCCGCAGGTAGAAAATGAATTCTGCCGTTGCCGCGTGGTAATACGCTTTTTGTGCACCTTCGGTCCGCTTTCTAAACCACTCTCCGCTTCGTTATGATTTTACGAACGCTTATTCACGTAACGCGACGTACCCGGTCTTCCCACGGTGTAACCTCTGTGCAACGAATACGACCGACGACACCGTTATTTGCGAATCGTATCGTTATCGTTCCCCTTGCACGTGATCCACGTCTACGTGGGTGTTTCGGATCCTGTTCTAGCAGCCTCCGAATCGCCACGCGATCCTAACTATAAACCGATCGCGAACAGTGCCGTTGCACGTATCATTGCGGGAACTTACAATCATCTTCGTTGCAAACTTACCGCGATTGCCATTATCTAAATTAGCGTCGTTTGTCGCACAGTTTGAAACGTATGTACAATCGATCGCAATTGACCGTATTGTATTTATGTATTTTCTTTTATCGGCGACATACTCGGATACCGAATCGGTACTCCAATCCGTTCGCTAATTATCGGTATTCTTTTCCTCGATCGCAAAGGATACCGCGGCCTATAACGGAAACGATAATTCACATCGTCCCGAAAAGAAATCAAGCCTTATCGTCGACCCATTGGTTCGCGTTCCGTGCAGAACTTATCATAAACAGTCGGAACTTTCTAAGAATTTCCGATCAGCTCGGCAGAAGCGAAGCGCAATGCGCTCGCCGAGTTACATAAAACGTCATCGGGTATTGTCACGGATCTATGTTTAGGCCTGCATCACTCGAATTACCCAAACGACTTTCACCCAATCTCGTTGCACTCGTGACAAACGGTAAGGATTTTTCTCCTTGGCGGCGAGAAAGGGGAGGGGGGGGGGGAAACAACCGTAACCAGTAAAGGGATCACACCGACAAACCGAGTATTCGTCGCAGTGATGCCAACGTAATTTTCTACATCTACATCGAGACACGATCGCGCCCCCTCTTCGCTGGATTTTGGCCCATTTAATCCTTTCACCTCGCGGCGAGATGGGCATCGCGAAAGCAACTCGGCCGTGTGCTATCTCCGCGAAACTTCTGCTCCAGCCGACGCGACGGTGCGGCAACTCGCGTTACGCACCCGAACAATGCAAGAAATGTTCGATATCAGCTTAAGAAACTATCCCCACCTCATAGTCCCGAGAAAATAGGTAGATTCGAAATTTGGTGGTGTCAGTATCGAGGAACGTGCACAGCTCTCCTGAGAAATAACGAAGTTCGCGAATGAATAATCCAGAGTCTTTTCGCGCTCTTTATTGTCATCGAAAACGTGGGTCGCCGCGTTGCACGTCAATACGTGCTTCCCTCTTTTCATTTCGGACGAATGTTCCCTGGTGTGAGAGGCAGAGCCGTTTGCAATCATCCTTTTTTCGTCCAACGACGAAGTCTGCGATCACCCAGGGATTTCGACGTTGCTAGATTCGGTGTTTTTATTTGACTTATCCGTTTTCTCTCGTTGGCCGCGAAACGAACGATACGCGCGACTGTAACATGTAACGTAATAGTTATTGTTTTGAAGTTCGCCGCGGTAAGCTGAATTATTAAGTTGCTCGGTCTTTACACACCTTTATCGCTAGTTTATCGATACGAATTTTTGGAGCACGCGAATCTCCTCCCTGCGAACGGAACGTTGAATCGCCAATGTACCGTTTCGTACTTTATCCAGCGACAGAGGTATCGAAACGGGTCGCGAAAATTGGTAGGTCACGCGAGGCAGTTGAATTGCCAAGAAAAATCTTGGAGCGAACGACCCCATTTCGAATATTACGACAGCGAAACAAAGGAAATGTTTCTCGATGTACTCGATCGCAATTATTTACGTAAACGTATCGACAGTTGTCGTTGGTAACGTTCATCGGAACATTATCTTCTTCCTGATTCTTCAACGTGTCCGTGAACTAACGAAAATTACTCTTTTTTTTTTTTCTTTTTCACCTGGCATTACGGTATCATCAAGGTAACAGTTCCCTATCGCGCGTCGAGCGCGTTGCATTATTGAATAGAATCGAATACACGTGGTCGTTCTTTCAGCCTTACGTGTCAGAGATACGTCGTAATAGTATTTTTAACGTTGACGACAAGCGTTCTATGATCCTCGACGTCTTTTCGCATTCGAATTCGCGCGAATCTGGACCGTTTTTCTATCGAAATCGGCTGCCTCGTTCGCACGATGCAACGTTCATTTTTTATGCACGCGATTTTTATCGTTACCGGGAACGTAGGGAATTTCATGCAATCGAATAAATGATCGATCTTAACTGCGGTTCCGGGAATACCTGTCGCCGATGTCATGCGAGATGACTGACTGATAAGTGCGATCGATTTTGCCGTGTCATATCGAACACCGAAGCATTGGAGTCTATGTTACTCGCGATAAAGAAGTACGAACGGTACCAAGATACCTGCTGTTTTCTATGGTACATATTAGTTAACCAGATATCGGGAAAGGATATTTTCAAGATCGTTCAAGTTAAGCGATGGGAGCGCGCACGTACGATCGTTCAAAACAACCTTTTCTCCTTTTATATATTCGAGGTCGACAGAATTTATAAATATCTCCATCGCGTACAAAAGTTGGAACAACTTATATCGTACATGTATGTACGATAATGTGCTGTTTTTATTTGATCTTAAGAAGTTCACATTTTATTTACGAGTTACAAATGGCGAACTTGTGGATTCGCGCGCTTATGAAGTTACGCAATAAATTTATTTGCATTTTTTATTCCTTGCAACGTAATTAAAGCACATGCTACGGTAATTTTTTATCACGTATCCTTGTGTATCGCGGATGCATTATGGTAAACAAGAGTTTTTAATTTCCTTCGTAGATAGAGATCTAACGGAGAGAGATCCGGAAAACAGGTTGGCCACTCCACGGTTTCTCTTTGTTCGATTCAACGTCGAGGAAATTTAGTACCTAGCGTTGTTTTTGCAAGTACTGGGGTAACGAGCTAGCGTAGATACTCGTCGTGTTGAAATCGCATGCGTTCGCGTATCGTCTAAAAGATCCTGCGAAATCTGACGTAGAAGGTCGCCGGCGTATTGGACGGTTCAGTTTTGGAAAAAAACCTCTCCGTCCGAAGAGCGAGAATGAACATTTTCACGATCAATCCGAAACGCAACGAACCGAGACTGGAAATAATTCTCTTTGCGGAAACGTAAACATAGTCTCGATGGAAAGTAAGTTAATTTCTCGGACGCGTTATCCCAGAGGATGGAATGGATATTTGGGCCATGACCAGGTTGCGATCAATATAGCGTCCCGTCGACGAAGCATCGACGAAAGTCTGCCAGCAGCGCCGGGACGACCCTTACGTACGCCCTATGAAACGAATTCATTCCGTACCAACACAAACGCGCCAGATGAGGAAGCTTCCCTTTACGAGCGCATTCCAAATGCTCGGATTGATCCGCGGATGTTTTCGTTATTCCGTCGATCACCGGTATTTCAAAGCTAAGCGTTCAATTTCAAACCTATTATTTCTTTCATCGCCTCTTTCTATGCGCAAATGATTCACGGATCCGTACACGTAATTGCAGCGGGAGCCCTGCTCTAGGCAAGGTCGCTCAACAGCCATCGTATCATACTCGCTTGATTTTCTTCTTTTTACGAGCTACGTCGCCGCGTTAACGATATCATCGAACTTGCGACCTCGTCGCTTTATTCCTCCGATTGTATACCGTGTACCGGCTACTTGGATGCGCGCTGCGAATCGAATTTTGCGTACCCATCGGTCCTTGGATTTTTCCGGGTAAGTTCACCCCACGCTCGATCGCGTCTCTATGCGTTCGAAACCGTCGGACAATAGGCAACCGATTCGTAAATGATTTTCCGGTACGAACGGACCGCACCTTTGACGATTTCCACGAATCGGAGTCAGATTATCGATACCATACGTTCCATGTTGTCGTGTTTTTTTTTTTTTCTAACATAGACGTTTCTTTCGCAGGCACTTATGAAGTTCCCGCATGATTATCCGTACAGTCCACCGAGCATCCGGTTTAAGACGAAAGTTTGGCATCCGAACGTGTACGAGGTGAGTAACTGCGCGAATTATCGATTCTCCCTTCATCTACTTTTTTGCGTCTGTGTTTCGCGCTCCCGTTCCCTCCCCGTCCCTTTCCAATCTCTCTCCTGGCTCTCGTCGCATCTTTTTTCCCTCTGGCCACCCCCTCGCTCTCTCATTCGCTTTCCTCCGCGTGCACCTTTCGCTTTCTCCGATTTTCTCTTTGTCGTTTCACCCTCCGTGCGAAGCTTTCGTGTCGTTGCTCTCGGGACTCGCGAAACACGCAGTCGTTGGTTGTTTCGAGTAACGCGTGTCTCGACGAACCTTGAGCGACCGTAATTTTGATAATCGATGCTTTTAACGCTGCCCCGAAATCCGCTCGTGGACACGATATTAAACGTTCGCTTTAAAGAATTTTCAATCGCGTGCCTCGAATCGTAGACATTTATCGTTTTTCCTTTTTTTTTTCGTTACATTGGAGGATTGTTATCCGTGACATTTACGCGAGCTATGTATCTTTCGTCGAATCTCTGGAAACTCGAGAGCACGAGGATACGTTGGTCGTAACGCGTTCAAGATTTGCTTTCCAAGATACGCTTCGTAACGATCGTTACCGATTATTTATTCTGTTACGTGTAAACGGGATTACTTCCCGTCGATTCCAAACACGACGTAACAGTAATAAAACGAATATTAATAACCGAGCTCGAGGGAGATAGAATGTTCTCGGTTCTCGCTTCGCTTTGTAGAAAATCACCTACGTTGAACGTTCCCGGATCGTTCCTCGACCGAAGGGTCGGACACCGCGTTTTCTAAATCTACAATTCTGAATTTTGTTCGCACAAAGTAACTGGTTCCCGAAGCTTATCGACCATCGACGAGAACGCATCTCTCGCCCGCGCTCTTTGTGTGACCCTTCAGCCACCAGCAAAGAGTCAACGACCGTCCAAAGCTCGTCGGACATCCGTGTCCAGTCACTTGTTGTTGGAAGGGATGAGACTAGACGAACGTGCTATGGTTAACGGTAATAACGCGCGTAAATTTCATGCGCCGAATGGCGTCGTATTAATTATACATCCCCGAGGAGGGCACCGGTATAGGATTACTGCGAAGAACTTGGTCGTTACCAGCTATCTAAAAATGTAGATGTTACTTTCATCGTTGGAAACATGGATGCATAGATAGGAGTTGCTTCCTGATTTTTCCGTGGGAGCGAGGGCTGCATGGAGTAATACACACCCCTACACTGTTTGACGACGATGTTAGAATTGCTAGTTCGTATCGATTTTCTGTTTTCTTGGGAACGTTAATTCACCGCGAGAGAATGACTTTGAACGGGAATACGAGTTATTCGGTTAACGAGTATATAACGGACGGTTTGCTGAACACGCGGATTTCCTGTCACCTCGGTGAACTCCGTAGCCTGTGCCGTGCGATTATCGGTCAATCGAGGCATCTTCTCGTCGAGTGGTTCCTTTTCAGTCGCGCCGCGGTACGCTCGACTTTATTTTTCCAAGGGTGTACCGTATCACAGGTCCGTGGAAATTCGCTGGAAACGTAACGCGCGTGTCGTGTAATCGGGATGTGTCACGTAATTCGAGCGTAAACCGCTGGAATCCACACGTAACGTACTCGCGTTCAATGACGACCGAATGATTTTCCAACGAGGTCCCTTTGTCCGCGAACGTTCGCCACGTGAGTCACGTGCGCGAGAGATTTCTTGCTCCACGGGATATCTTACGGGCTGCTATAAACGCGAGACACGACCAGACAATGATAGTTCCCCGCTTTAATTTTTCTCTCTAGTTCGCGGTGGTATTGTTCCGTTGAAACTGTACGTCGAGCGACACGTAACGTCGGGATCTAGATAACGCCATCCTCTTTGATCGCTAAGAAAAGGTTTCATTCTTTTTCACAAAAATCCGCTGTTACATGTGTATCGAAGACACTCGGAATCGTTGGAAAATCGTAGGCTCATCGGCGAAGATGAAGGAGGTCGTCGCCTTAAGATCCGACGAACCGCGTAACGTTTGCGACCGGCGGTACACCTCGGAAATATATCATCCCGTCGCTACAGATGCACGAAACGCGTCCGTGAAGAGGCTGTCTTCTTCCTAGACCGGTGATGCGCGTAAGTTTCCTCACGGACACGTTTCGTGCATCTGTGATAGTGAAACGATATTTCTGAGGCAAGCATTCACGCAGGGAGATCAATCCCCCCCCCCCCCCCTACGTGTGTCAGGAGTCTGTACTTCCACGACCATGGATCGCGTATAGGTGACACGAGTCACGCACGTATAGGTGGTGTCATTTACGAGCGGCTAGGTTGTAAGGTGGAAAGGTTCTCGGATGAGGTCGCGCTCAGGACCTTCGTGCCGTTAACCCTTTCGTGCCGAGTCTCGACTTAGGCGATTGACCATCGAGTAGAGCCAAGACTACTCGAGTAACTCGACTCTCGAAGGATTTCTACGGTCCCGATTGACTCAACGCGTTTCAACGTAAATCGCAGCTTATTTTTCTGTATTTTAGTATCAACTCTTTCGTTAGTTAATTCCAACTATTAACAGACGTCGATGAAAACAAAAGTAATAGCTGAAATTTTCAACGAACTTTTACAAAATTGTTGCGCAACACTTTGCGCGGTGCCCTTTGTAAGTTTTCCGTTTACTCTAGTATCGTACTTTGATTCCAAAGGAGATACGTGTTTCTGTTCATCAGATATTGTCTCGTCCGAGTTTTCGAGATTTATTAGTCCGCTGCCGAGCCGTATAACAAAACTCTGGCTTCTTTCCGCTCTCGACCACGGAGTAGCTCTTCGTGTCGGACCTTGCCCCCTCTGTTCCGAAAGGGTTAACGGGATACAGGACCCGCGAGCTCCATGAGAACCGATGCGCAGGACTCGCTTCGGCATTGCAGCGCGTTTCTCGTTGAAAAAATAGTCACGTCGCTCGACGAATTCGTGGAAGTTGTTTAATCCAAGACGGGCAACCGACTTGCGATTCTCTTTCTGGAAGTTTAATTAGAATACTCGCAACGGATCTTCGAATTTTTTTTTTCCTCGTAAGCTATCGACAAATAAAGACGGCGGTTTGTAGAGTGTACTCGTCGTACACCGTCCAACCCTGACTTATACGTTGAAACTGTTGGCGCTGCAAGGTTTCGAAATAGTTGCCAAGAGAGGCACGTATTTTTATAAATTTTCACGGCCGAACAAAGGCTCGGATGTATCCACTCCTCGATAGAAACTCCGCCGTTTGCCGGGAATATCTCGCTAACGTCGAGCAGCAGCGAAAACGGCACTCACGCCTACACCTTCTGCAGAGATATTTAGAAACGTTGATCGTCTACGAGGCTTCCTGTTTGGATCCGCGACGAGAGTTTCACCACGGAACCGTGCTCACACGCTACGGAATGATTCATCGTCGATGAAAGCGTGATAATGGTTCGATCGCATCGTGCCACACTTGGTGTATTTACCTTGAAAAATGAGGAAAAATCGTTTTATAACTTTAACCGCATTTAATTCAGATAATGCATCGCTCTACGTAGCGGCTACCGAACTTTGAAAGTTGCTTTCTTTGTCGTCTAATACCTTAGCTTCGAGTAGAAAAACAAACGCGATTTTTACGATGGATTTTAATTCAAGTAAAAGCTCTTAGATTCCGATTGTATTTACAAGAATTTAAAGAACCGACGTTCCCACGATCGAGAGTCGATCTATTTTCGAGGCTGACTGACACTCGGCAAGTTTCTCGTCTCGTTTGAAGAGAACTCCTTCTCTTTGCCTATCTCTCGCTTGATGTTATCACGTTGTGTATCTAATTTAATAAATGTACCCTTTCGATGCGTTAGTCGTCGATAACACTAATGAAAAACTATATTCCCGGTTTATGTAATCGGTACACTTGGTACGTGTTATCCATTTACAGGGATTATTGAATCGGCTTACGTTGAATCAAATCAGCCTCGATTGCACTATTTTCTATACCCTGATTACGTATAAGCAGTAACAGCTGATCGTAAATATCCGCGTTTATTATATTTATATATTCGGGGTGTATAATTAAAACGGGTATTTTTGTGCGACGCGCATCAAAGGCGAAATTTATTTTCGCTGGCCGCATTGTGCAGCCGTGACCGAGCGTGCACCGGCACGGGCACAAAAGATAAAAGTTTATCGTGCATTGGGGGCTATAATGCGGCAAGAAATCGCCCCGACCTGTTGCGCCCTATCGAAGACGAAACGTATTCGATCTAATGGATCGACACTGTTTTCCTTTCGATCGGATTTTACCAAATCTCCGCAACGAATAGTTACCGGAGCAAAATGCTTTTCAAATATTTTTCCATATAATTAGTGGGAAGAAATACAATGCGGCGTTGATATCGAATCAGACCAGCCTGGTTTTTTTGCGAGAAATCTTTGCAAGAGTTCTTTTTTTCCTAGAAAAATGATGTTCGACCGAACACGCCGCAGGCTTGTATTTGCGTTTATTCCGGCGGTATCTTTCTGTTTTGTCTGTACACGGTGAACCTCGTAGATCGAAGGACCGCGATTGTCTTGGCAATTATCCGTCTCAAAAGTGAACTTTCTCTCATCGAAGACGTGGCCACGAATTTTCGGGAATCAAAGCAGCGACTGAGAACCAGAGAAACACCCTCTTTCTCTCTCTCTCTCTCTATATGCTGGCCACTCGCCAACGGCACTGCGGTATGCCGTGCTTTTGTCCACAAAGAGCGTGCTTGCCACACGTATACAGGGCGATTCTAGGAATTGGGCCCCTACAGCTTCTCGCTAGATGAGGTTAGACAAAATTTACCGACGGTTCATATTCTCCCGGAATTGCAATTTTCCAGCAAATACATCGATGCGTCTGCCAGGTGGAACTGCGCACTTGGGTAAATAGATCCACGTGTATTCTTTTACGTAAACTTGAAGAACCTTCTACGTCTAGCAAGACTAAAAATAGACCGATTCGCGTAACTTTTTTCCGATTAAGCGCATCGTATTTTACTTTATATCCGCAGTAACTTTGTTCCGCAAATCAAAGAACGATCGACTGATACCTTGAGCATTTGATAAAAAAAACGTGGACTTCTTTATCCAGCTACAAAGTTTCATTAAAATCTGAGATTAACACTTTCCAAGATCTCTTTGGAAGTACTCCGGTTGCGAGACGGTGTAAGGAATGGGGGTCGGTCGCGTCGAGGGCTGAGGCATCGGAAGCGGGACAGTCGGAAGTTGATCGCGTTTCGGTATTCAAGGGAAAATCAAACAATCCATTTCCAACCGTACGTTTATTTTTGTTTCGCGATGGATGTCTGCGCGCAAAAAATTCTATTGATCGCGAAGTCAACCCTGCCACCGAGGGCGCGTTTCGACGATGGAAACGATGTCGGTACGCCCCGGAAAACGAATAACGACTAAAGTGTATCGCGAGTACGCGCTTTTTCTTTTAAAAATGAATATAATGAAATTCCGCGATTATTATTTTTTCGCAGGTCTTTCTTGAAAACTTCGTGGTGAAAATATTTGTTAGATCTGCATAGCAACCAATGTGTTCTTCTTGTGAAATCATGGTCATCCTTGTGTAACTTGACCGCCTTAACGCGTGCCTCGTGACGGCTATTTGATACAGCATAACGCGAACATTAATGATATCGTCGCGTCTTCCGCACCGAAACTTTTCAAGTAACGAATACAACGGGAAATTTGAATGATCGCACGATAGGAAAATGCTCGATAGCGTCGTAAGGGTCGTTGCTGGTTTTTATGTAGTCGTTCCTTGCGCCGATCGATCGATCAGGTTTAAACGCTTCGGTGAACCGGGACGAGCGTTCTACGAAGACATACGGAGCTAGAAGTCGCCTGTGTAAATGTTAATCGAGATTACCAAGCAGATTAGTAGATGTTTCGTCCGACTGGACGCGGAAGTGGTCGCTGGTAACGGTTGACGAATGAGAAAACTACACGACTTCCTCGCTACGCTTGGCGTATTGTTACCGAACCTACCGATTAAATCTAATTGCTCGTCCGTGCGTTGGCGTCCATCGCCCTTTCCAATTAGCAAATATATCTAAACGGCGGGCTCGCGATTGAAGCAAACGTGGTCGCGTCGGGTCGACAGCTACTTCGTCGAGGCTTTAGGAAGGTTTGTTGGAAGGTACTCGAGCGCATCCTACGCGTCCGAACTCTTTCCAAGGGCGAGGCGAGGAAGAGTAATACGAAAGCTTCTAGTAACCGTGGCTCGAGCTCCGAATATGGCGCGTAAAGGTGACTGAACAATGACGATCGTTGGGTTCGCGAAAGACGTCGCGAGGTTCCGTCCTTCGACCCGGACATTTGTTTTCTCGATGGCCATTGCGTCGTCAGGGACGATTAACGCGGAACCAAATGCTCCTCTGACCATTCGAGTCGATCGTTTCGCCCTTGAGTGTCGGTCCCAGGGTAACACGCTCCTTCGTCGGATACGCGCAAATGTGCTCGAAAGAAACACTTTAATACATATATATATATATATAAATATTCTTTGGTTACACTCTTCGTAAACTTGTTTTGCATTTATCTCTTATCACCGAGAATGAAGTCGAGTGATCATTACTTGGCAAGGTATCTGGTACTTTAACACGTTCACCGCCCACGTTGGTTATCGGTCACCGACATTGCTCTTCGGTTGATACGAGACATCGTTTTGTTTTTCGTCGAGCAAACTTTCGAAACATGCGACTTATGCAATACGTTGTCCGGGTGTCCCGCTGGAAACAGTATCGTCCGGGTAATGGAAATAATTTTCCATTGGACAACGGAAATGGAGTTAATTCCCGCTCTCTAAATTGCGAATAGCGATAGGTTTGATTCGTTACGTTTGTGTTGCGCAGAACGGAGATCTGTGCATATCGATCCTACATCCGCCCGTAGACGATCCACAGAGCGGCGAGCTGCCGTGCGAGAGGTGGAATCCGACACAGAACGTCAGGTGAGTGTCCCATCCTGGAATCCGTAAGAAGCTCGATTTGAAAAATAAACAAGACGCGTTGATTCATATAACGCGTTTATATAAATATACTCCGAGAGTTGCCGTGCGTATTATCAGGTATCCACGAACCGAAGCCGTGACGCAAAAACGCTAAACGAGTTCTGGTTTTCGAATAGGACGATACTCCTGTCGGTGATCTCGCTCCTGAACGAGCCCAATACGTACAGCCCTGCCAACGTGGATGCCTCGGTGATGTATAGGCGCTGGCGCGATTCCAAGGGTCGAGACAAAGAGTATGAAAATATCATAAGGTACGGTAATGTCGATCTATTCCGCATCCTGTCTTCCCGTTTTTCAATTATCGTTCACGTTCGCGTGCCATTATTGCTTTTCATTTATTTATTTATTTTTATATCAACGCATTAATCGATGCGCGCGCAACCTTTGCGCAAAGAAGATTCGGTGATTATTCGCAATAGCGCTGACCTCGTGGTTTACAACAACCTCGAAGAGTATCCGAGGAGGAAGGTCGTCGAATGTTTCGATGCAGAAAATAATCGTCGATCGCTCTTATTTTTCAAGATATTAGTGTTACAAATGTAGGTAATTATGTACTTTAACGACGCCATCATCGATTTCCAAGGGCTTCGATGTCGAAGAGGGAAGATCACCGCGTGTTCTAGAACAAAAATTATTTTCCATCCGTTCTTATATAATATCCGAGTAGAAAATCGGCAAAGTTAACGCTATTGCAAATAATTACCGACGATATAGCGTGCCGCGTGGATTGCTGCGAAAGTTGATTAGAGCAACGTCCAAGGAACTGTTTCGTTCGTTCGCAGAAAGCAAGCGCAAGCTGCTAAAATGGAGGCCGAGAAGGAAGGCATCGTCGTTCCGATGACGCTAGAAGATTATTGCATAAAAACGAATTTGAGGCAACCCGAGCAACAGCTAGACATGACGGTTTTCTACGACGACGAGTACGAGTTGGACGACTACGAGGACGATCAATTAAGCGCCGCCGAATACGAGGACGGCGACGACAGTGGCAACGGAGAATCGTGAGCCATTCCCTAAAACCACGGAAAAATAAATTCAAATAAAACAACAACAAAAAAATAAAAGAAACGCTAATTATTATCAGTTCTGTATAGATTAATAAATTAACGGGCTTCTAAACTGGACGCTCTATCAGTCTCTCTTCGGACGTGCCACCTATATAAATTCAAATGCGCGCAATAGAATTTACTTTGCCTTCGGACGTTGAAGTATGATATATTTCAAAGGTGCCGTCACTTACCGTGCGTCTATCGTTACAGCGTTAGGTGAAACGAATTCGTCGATTTATTCGTTGTAATCGTTCCGTTTCTGATTCATTCTACGGTGGAAGAGATTTCCCTGTGGTTCGTTCGTGGATCCCCGAACTGAATTTTACGCGAACCGCCGCAGCTCGAATTTCGAAATTCTAGAGGATATTAAATTGTCGAGAATTCCGAGTTTACAAGCTCTTTAACTTAAGCAATATACGGTATAAACATAAGTAATTTGTTAGAAGCACTGTGCTTGTTGTGTTGTGGCTGGCACGTCAATCTTTTTAACTAGGCAAAAGGTTAGAAAGAATGGACCAATTGATTTACCTCACTTATAGGCGATCAGAGTTCGATTAAAAAAAAAAAAAAAAAAAAAAAGAAAAAGAAAGAAAAAAAATCGCGACGAAGTACAATGATTGGGCTGGCTCAAGTTATCCGTGTATCATATTAACGATGTTATCGGTGAGTACATCAATTGATCCTATATTTCAAGAATTCGATAAGGTCACATTCTAGTGAAATTTCTCCGTTTCGTGTGAATTTATTTATGTTACGAAATTAAAAGGCCGAAAGGAAATTCGATGTATAAGTGAGAGAAAATAAATGAAAAAGAAAAAGGAAATATAAAGTCGAACCGCCAAGAAAGACCTGTCGAACACTCTTCGTAGACGTTAATTTTATTTAAAACGTGCACACATTGTACGCTTCGTTTCACATTTAAACGATACGATAGATTCTTCCGAGTTTCATTTAAAACGAAGCTCACGATGGTTATCGTTCGCAGACTGTCGCAACATTTTAGGCAGGTCTTTAACGGCTTGTTTGTTCGCGATCTTTAGGCGTAAAAGATCATTTTTACTACGAACGGATATATATTAAGTTTCGATGGTTTGTCATTGACATTGCTAAATCTTTTGAGAAGAGTACCGAGGTACGTTTACGGACTTCTGCGTGCATCGTGCTACATCCACAAAGTTAGTTTAGCTTATGACATTTATTAAGATCTCTTGATGTTTATGATGTTATGTGTATTATCTTTCACGCGGGGACAAAGCTTTATAGGTGAAGTTGATTAAACGTAAGCTTATTACTTAAGTGAAAGGAATACCAGGTACAGCTAACCTACTCTGTGGTAGTGTATCTGTGCTCGTACGACTGAAATTGTAAATAGTACACAAAACTCAACCTTGAAGACATAAAATGTGTAAATGATACGTCTATCTTCGTTCTTCATTAGCCCGTTTTATCGAGAGACCAAAATTAAGCGTGTTGAAAGTGTTGAACGGTAAAAATTAAAGCGGAAGGATATTTCAATTTAAATATTATCCGAAGAAAGCATATAATCAGCGCTTGTAGTGGTATAGCGAAAAGTAAATATCCCCTAGTTCCTTGGTATATTACGAAACCTCTTTCATTTCATGTCGTCCCTTAGCTACTTAATAATAGACGAAACTATGTAAAACACCGACGTAACGCTAATAATTTGTATACCTCAAAATTCTTTTCTCCTTTTTTTTGTACATACGAATAAAATCTTTTCGTACAATTATTAATAAAACTAGCGCAATAATATCACGATTTGTTAGTAGTTTAAGGTAAATAATGACGTCACGCTACCAACCATTTAACAAACATCTCTTTAGGTAAGTAAATGCCTTTTTATTTGCAAATCCGTTTCTTCGATAACAAGAATAACTTCCAATTTCTTCTTACACAAAATCAATATAAATTAAAAATATAGAAATCGCAGAAATGCAACGCAATTAACTTGAATGCTCTGTATTCGTAACTTTTTTTCTAGGAATCCCTACCAGTATGTGATGTTTGGGTGTACAAGTTTTCGGTATAAATTTAGAAATATACACTTTATAGCCGAACTGTTCAGCTTGCAGCCTTCTGTCGGTGTCGATAATCGCCATACACTCGTACCCTTGCTTTGTCTTAACATTTTTTTCGTCGTGCGTTTGATCGGCAGCATGACTCAGGATCATGTATTTCTCCTGATCCATTTGCTTTTTAAGGACATTGCTCCTTGGATATGTCAGGTGATGACAATCGTGCAATGATCCGTAACAACACGGGCAGCAGATGAAAATTGCTCTCCTCTTAACGCATTGTTGTAAAACTAAATCGGTCGCGACACCGCATGCATGCAGTGACATGCCAATGTCAAAATCTCCTTTAAAATAGTCTAAATTACATTGATAGAATTTTACGTTAGTCAACTTCAACTTCTTCACTCTTTCTTTGGCTCTATTCAGTGATTCTTCTTTATTCTCCAACAGTATGACGATACAGTATGGTAAAAGATAAGCAACCAAGATACCCAAGTGACCACTACCGGAACAGAAGTCTACGATCACGTCTCCAGCTTTCGCCAATTTCATGACAGGCTTGCACATGTTTTGTAACTGTTCGTGCTTCTTTTTTAATCGTGTTGCTGGCAGTGAACCACCTTCTGGCGTGGCATCGTACGGCACCGTGGACCAGTCTAGATTCAATTCAGCACCGAATGGTTCTAAATCGAGTGTCGTTTGCACATTTAACGTATTAAATAATTCCATTGAATGTTCTACGTCTTCTTGTTTTGTATAAACACGACTTTTCGGTCTATATCTATTCGGATCGCTCTTGTACAAACTTTGGTTTAATACTTGAGGAAGAGTATAGTTGAAATCATTCGCGTCTTGATTTCTTAACACCGGTAAACATTCGAGACAGTCAACTATAATTTGATCTTCGATCATTTTTTTATACCATTTAGCGGTCAATGGAAGTAGCTTCATCGTAGCATCGCTTGAAAATATAGTCAACAAAATATGTATACAGACAAATATAATTATATCCGCCAGTGTCACGTGCGAGCCCTCGGTGTATGTATGTTCTGGCAAACGCATTTCGTCTCGCGAAATTGCATTTTCGTCGGCAAACTTTTTAGACATCGCGTACTTGTATAGATTGTGCAATCTGACGGGTTGCGACATATGACATTCCAATCTCGCCATACTGGAAGGCAGTTCATTTTTTATCGAGCCATCGGCATGCAAAAATTTTAGAGTTTGAATCAGATCCACCTCGCAAAATTTTGTCCAAACGCTTGCTTCCGAGCACGCCGTTAAACACGAGTCTTTAAATCCTAACAATTTTCGGCAATAATGATTCGGATTGTCTGCTACGACATCTTTAATTATTTGACGTAGTATCGCACAAAGTCCAGCGATACAACTAGTTTTATTTACAACAATGATTGGCAACTCGCACGACCTCACGGAAAAGAGGATTTTATTTGCATCCATAACCTCATACACAAATGTGGAAATATCTATCGTGTACGCTCGTTCTAGAGGCTTCTGTTTACTTGGTATCAATTTAATATTAATTTTAGAATTGCAATATTTTACAGTAAATAATGTTACTATTGTTTCAATCGGTGCAAGACACGATTCTGCTAAAGAATATACTTCCAAGTAAGCTTCCATTTTTTTCTAGCTGCCTATGATGCCATAAAGGTAACAATAACATAAATTAAACAAATTTAATAGCTTACAAATTAGCTAAACGCTAGCTCTCAGTTGTCTAGCAACTTTTCGAATGATCCTTTGCCTTAAAATATTTTCTCTCCAATAGACACTGATACAGGAACTTATGGCCAAAACAGACATGAATGCCTCGAACTTCCAAAATGCCCTTTCTTCTAACCAAGCTACTCTGTCACAACTAAAGCATATACTTGGTTATGCTAAATATTCATAAATATTTACATCCACGTAACCATTACAAATTAAAGAGAGATATTTACCTTCTTGTTATAATTTCACCGCTTTTACATTTTAATACTTCCTTGTACCGTGCATGAATGCACACGTCAATGCTTTTGCTTGCTATCTCAAAAGCAGAACATGGATGACATTCTGAAGTTATTTCATACTCTTCCTCAGAAATACACACTGTATTGTTTTCATAATTGTCCAGGTAAAGTTTGTTAGGACTGTCTGTCCAGTGACTCTCAACGATTAGTACTAAAACGGTTAACCTGTAATGCAAACAAATATAGCTACATATAAATTATGGTGTTAATATGATTTACGAATTTTTACAATTATAGCCAACAGACAATGGATATCAGATGACATAAAATAAAGCTAACCCTCCTAGTAGTGTAATGCCAATTAACATTCGTTTTTTAGTACACAGCTCGATCATTTCGATGTGCACTGTTTCATGAAATTCCACGTTTCCTGTCCAGCTATGTGATCCATGTGAAATGAATAGTCTTTTTAAACAGGATAAACGTAAGAACAATCCAAGTCACATTCCAACTAAATAACGTATCATATCGTTCTTAGTAAATAAGATCTAGACTACCTAATAGACTGTAAATGCATTCCACTTAGACAACTAATCCCGATCTATGATTCATGTTACTAGAAGCTACAAGGTTTTACAGTGGGCGCTACGGTAACCAAATAGAGGAGTCCGGGCTAGTTTAAATTTGTTTTGTTTCTAATTGTTAATAATTATCATTTATCATTCATTAAATACATTGCAATCATATATTTCCATAAATAAGAGCATATATGCAAGTTAATGGACACACGAACACTATAGCCATCTCGCGGCGGCCCCCGAACTAATTTTTCATATGTATTTACAGTTTTTATTTTTTTCTGCATATTCTTATATTTTTTACATCGTAATCACTGTACTTTACAATACTTCAATTTCTAATTGTTGATTTGCACACTAATAATTGACTCATTTTAAGGTTTTTAAATAAATAAAAATACCGACAAAAGTGACGCCATCTCTCAGCGAACTGCCCAAGCTTGTCGTAAAATAGTTCCATCTTCACGCCGCTAGATAGAGCCACATTTAGGTATTTCTATTTATTTAAAAAACGAGGTATTAGACAATTATTAGTGTATGAAATAGGCATTTATTAGTTGATATATGACAGTTAGAATGTAAAATTATATTTTTATGCAAAAAAAATAGATAATTTTTTTTTGAATATTTTCATCTTGGGAGCGCCATCTAGCAGTGAGAGGGGGAAACTGTTTCCCGTCAAACTTACGGGGTTCGCCGAGAGATGGCGCCACATTTAGCACCCATTTCTCTAGGGATTTTATGCCGAACACGTTACGTTATGGGGTTCACAAACAATGCAAAGCAATCAAACTATACACAAAATATAAAAATATGTTTTATTTTTCACACAGTTTTACATTAACAGTAATTGTCAACAGGCAACGAGATTAAGTACAATGAATAATTTAGATATCATTCTAATATCCCGGTTGCGTTTGTCTATATAATCTCACTCGACAAAACAATGAACGAGTGAAACACGATCAATTCGTACAAAGCATTATATTAGAAGCGGTAATGGTATTTGTTAAGGAAAACGAATTTCCCATTGCAGCATTCAAGAGCGAGTATTATCATTGTGTTTCTGTATTCTTTCATTTTCGTATTATGCGCGATAGAAGGCACGTACAAAGAAGTCATGTATTATTTGTCCGTCCTAAAAATACTTGTTTACCGTTATTTGAAAATATAATCTATTCTTTGGAACGATTGATTCATAGGTTACGCGTGAGAGGCATTTATTGTGTATGTGTACGTGTGCATGTAAGGTACGCGTATAGGTACGTCGAAAAAAGACTTGAACCCTGTACGTTTGATATGCTTTTGAAAGAGATGAGAATGCCATAAATATATATATATAAAAAAAAATTAAAATAAAAGTAATGATACAGCATGAATCGATATTGCAAGAGGAAGAAAATCTGGCGGTTCGATTACTTTTCTTAAGCTTCACTGTAAAATGGCTAGTATTACCTCTAAATCGAATTATAGATAATTCAATACGAACAATAGCAAAGAATCATTATTGTCATATGCCACTGCGGATAATACCTCAGCGGTAACGTCGATTGGCCCAACACTGCGAACAGTAGTAATCATTTTCTGCCGAACCATAGAAACGGCATTGTTCGTTGCGACATTTACCTATAGTCTGAAAAAAAAAAATGTTTCAGTTTGTAACATGTAACGAATTATTTTAAACACATACCTCAAGACCGCTGCTATTATTCCATTGTTCTGGCCCCGGTTTATCAGACGTCGCTTGGTCATTGTAAAAGGTAGACCTGTTAAAGAACGATCAATAAAAATGTCTTATTGACAATAACCGATAGAAATAAATGTTGCTTATAAAAGAAATACCTCGAAAGATAAAGTGTACGATCTTTATTTTGATTGATGGGTAACAATTTGCTAACACTCGCATGACTTCCTCCATCGCTAGCAGCATAAAATTTGGATTTGCCAGCGCCATAATTCATTTCACTACCAGCCTCGTCAACTTTATGATCCTGCAGGTACCTATAAAATTTCAATAATTTAAATATTTCTTCCTATGGATAAAATAAAACGAATATACTTAAAAAGAATTAGTAATGTAAGACCTTGCGTGAGCACATTGAAGATAATTTTGAAGCATCTGATCCACATACTGATGGCGTCTACTTCTGATTCTTACGCATAATAGACCTTCTGTAGAAAGTCCGCCCGCCGTAGCTGGCGGGCTTTTTGGTCTCTTTGCCATGGACCACAGTCTTTTGCTAACGGATTTTCCGATCGATCCAAATTGTTTTGCGACACCCAATAATTGCTTCGCTGTTTTAGACAGTGAACCGTCGGTATCGGATAGTCTCTCAATTTCTTCCGATGTAAAGTTTTGATACTCACAGTCCAAATAATCTCGCAATAAAATTTCCATCTAAACATAAATGCTTGTAATTATATTTGAATACGTGTTAAAATTATATTACATTCTGTAAAACTAGCTACCGTATCTTGATAACAAGGTAACAAGTCTCGAGAACCTTTCTGCCAATCCCAATCAGGTCCAGGATCTACCGCGAATAAAACTGGTAATAATTGACCTGTATCTGGGTCGACCAGAGGTATGCTAACACCTTCGCTACAACTGTCTCCAAAATCGCTCGCTCCGTCAACAATGACAAGAGGTGAAAAATGTGCCGAATGGTACGCTAAAATTAACGGGGTTCTGTGACAGCGAGATGAAGGTACTTCTAATGGTAGATACACTCCGCCAAACGGAATTGGCGCTAAAGCTACACCTTCTGCATCTTTTAGCATAGTTTCGGCTATAACTAATATAGGCCTCTTTAAAGCATGAGCCAAAGCTAATACATGTACCTTGAACAATTTTGTTGTCATTACTATTTTGTAAAGCTAGTAAACTTTATGATAAAATAGAATATGACAATTTTACATACTTCTTCAAGACTCTGATAAGAAGTAGCAGTTTGATTTCTAAAAATAGGAGAAGCCATATCTACGATAGTTTGCCATTCAGTTAACCATTCTGCTTCTGTATAAGATAAACCCGCAGCTGCATTCAAACCCATTTGTCGCCATTTCCATCTTCTAAACAAAGCATGTCTGTACTCTCCTTTGGCTAAAGTATTATGCAATGCTTCTCTTAATGTAAGAAGTCTGTCGTGAAAGCCCCACATGCCAAGAGAGGCTGCGTGTAAAAGGCAGTTGCCATCTCCTGATGTTGCTAAAGGCCACAAAACTCTGTTATTTCCATTTTTGCCCCCGCACCACCAGTTTAGACGACCAGCAGCTTCTAGAGAAGTTAAACATCCTCCTTCTATCAAATCTTTCTCCAAAAACTGACGAAATGAATCTAAGTGTAATATATTATTAAATTACTAGAATGAACCAAAGGAAATACTTAAAATTGATGTGGAATAATATAAATAATATACCTGGGTACACAGTTAAGTCAGGAAGGGAAAATGTGAACTCTGGGGTGTCTAAAGATCCTATGGTAGCTAATTGAGAGCGAGCATAAGACACAATTGCTGCATTTTCGGTTGCCCGGGATATACCTCTTGCCAGTTTCTTAGTAGCACCAGCTCCATTTTCCAGTGTATTATTGGATGCTGTCTCTTTCTCCAGACCATCGTATGGGGATAGTCCCACGTTCATTACCCTGTCTTATGGTACCTACTAAGCAACAGTTTATATCAAATTTACTACCGTATGATTAATATTATTGCTTCAATTAAAAGAAAAATTATTCAGTCGTTATATATTGTCTAACGTTTTCAATTTTTAGTAGAAATTAAATAGCGTGGGTTAGAAAGCGACGAAACATTACGATTCACGGAATTACGAAATACCGAAAGCGAATAAATTCAAACAGGTATGCGATTGCACGTACACTGTACACACATATATATGAATATATAAATGTACATATGCATATATCTATACGATCATATGTGCATACGATTACTAAAAAAGTGCAAACCTTGGCCCGTATATCGAATTAGTGCAACAGAACGTAGCAGGAAAGTATCGTTAAACGGTATTCTAATTGGTCTACGATGCACGAACTACTCGTATGCTTTCTCATATTTCGTAGCACGGTATCCGTACCAAAGACTCTCCTGAGAGAGATGTCTGCGACGTAACAAAACGACTAAGAATCTTTATGCATGGGCGGCAATATAAACACAACATAACCTAGGATACGGCAGCCTCGAAAGCCTCGAAACTGCACCTATGTAGTTTCCTAGTTACTACATGTTGCATGCGCTCGAAACTTTTTGCAAGGCCTTTTGGTAAGGCTAACGAATTCGACCACGAATCCAAGGTCGGCTCTAGTCATGGGAGAAGTAGGCACAGGACTCTTGGGACGCTAAATTTGAAGGGGCCCTTCTTTTCCATGCATGAACTCAAGTTTATAGCAAATCTTATTAATTTTATATAATATATACGACAAAGGGATATTGAATATTTATAGCGTGTAAAGTAACCAAGGAGAAAATAACAAGGAACTTTTATTCTTTTGTTTTTCTTGTAATGTTTTTATCTTTTTTTACCAAGCACAATAAAATTATTGAATCAGCTACGACGTTGTTCGATTTTTCGTTTCACTTATTTTTAATACATTTATATAGTATTTTGGAATGTATATAGTAAAATAATTTGATAACCATTATGAGAACCCGGCTTTATTTAGTTTGATCCAAATAAGAGATTATGATCATATGTTGGTAGTGTACGCAGATTGCCGCCACGGCTGTTATGTTTCGACGATGAGTACAGATTTGTAATTTTAATTTAAAAAAAATTGTGAGACTAAGTGCTATATAGCATTGATATTGAAAGGTGATATTTAGTTTTCTGTATGTAAGAAGTTGAAAGTGATGCATGGTTTAAAATGTACTTTGGTGCTCTTGACCGATATAAAATTTTGAACTGTGCGCAATGTTTCATTTTGAACCAATAAATTGTATCGATTGGTTTCTTCAATGTTGATGAGATATTACCGCCAATTATTAAGGATCGTAAAAGAAATCATTTTCTAGGCCCTTTTATTTATATTTTGCCTTTACTGTCAGCTTGATTAAATCACAAGTATAAAATGCA